CAGTGCATTATGGCTGTTGAAATATTGAGGTCTTTTTTGCCAAATTCGAAAAAAACGGTTCTTGTTATTTTGATCGCCAACCCCTGATGTAGGAAGATAACAGCACTGTGCAGGAATATAGGAACCCATGGTGATGTAGGAAGATAACAGCACTGTGCAGGAATATAGGAACCCATGGTGAACACTGCACAAGTCACGTGCACTGCATCCTAGCAAGGCAACCTTTCATGTCTAAACCATTTTCTTCTGCTTCTCTTTTGCACTTTCTGTGGTAGCTCTTCACCACAGGCTGCAGATGACGGTGGCGAAGCCGATCTCATGAACAATGATGAAGAAGCTATTCCACCATCACTTCGGAGCGATATCTCACGAGCCTTCAGGGCAATTTGCCAATGCATAATGCCGCAACCAAGGGCCGTGGATGAAGAGGAAGAAGAAGCCGTTGCACCAGGCGGATGGTTTATGGAGATCCTCACTACCTTGGTGGAAAGCTTGAAGCCTGAGCCAGGGACCAGCAGCAACACAGAAGGCGGCGGTGGTGGTGGTGGTGGTGGTGATGACCACAACAAGACGCGCCATAAGGAGAAGAACCAGAAGTCAGGTGAGAGAAGTGTGTGTGTGTCTGTGTGCATCTACCAGTCATCTCCAGAGGTTGCAAACGGGTTTTGATTCCTTACCCGTACCTGGCCGCACCAGGGTCGCAAATGGGTACCCGTACCCGGCCGGGTACGGGTACTCGTTCCCTACCCGTACCCTACCCGAAATGAGTGACAAACGGTTACTCACCAGTGACTCACGGCCTACCCGTACCCGTACCCGGCCGCACCAGGGTCGCAAACGGCTACCCGTACCCGGCCGGGAAAGATTTATGCCTGTTGTGGATAAAGACACCCACTGAAATGACTTCATAAGTAGTCATGTCTGTGACATCTCCCCTGGGAACATGCTATGTAACACAAGGTGTGACACAGGTTAGGATATCATGAAAATGTATATGTGAAACTTCGCAGTTGGTCGTGGTTTCAAATACTTGAATTTTCCTGCCACATTAGTAGCTGCTTAGCTCCAAGGGCCCGCTGCATGGCATTGTCAAGGCTCTGTTACGGCGTAGGCTCACTGGGAAATGCCGCGTGGTGTCGTGGTTCTGCTCCGACTCTGTGTGGCCTCGGTGAAGATGCCACTCTCCCCTGCTTGCTGCTACTTTAACATGATCTGTCCCCTTGCAGGCAAAAAGAAAGAAAAGTTCAAGAAACTCATGGCAAATAAGAGAACGCAAGCAAAGAAACTTCACAGCAAATTCAAGACGGGCTTCAAGAATAAAATGAAAAAATGTAAATGCAGGAAGAAGCGTAAATAGTCGTGGACAGCAACTCCATTCTCCGACAACCCCTCCCCGCTCCTCCTCTTCACTCCGAACATTTATGAATCCACATGATCACATCTCTCATCATATCGCATTCCCTGCTCCCTTCTTCAACTCTTCACAAAGTTAATGATCCCTCGTTTAGCCAAAACAGATTGTTGGGGCAAGGCCGGCATAGTACACAATGGACTGGGTGGTCACGCCCGGCCGCCTTTGTTTCCGCATTAACGATCTTTTTGCATTCACCATGGCCTCATCTGAGTTTGAGTCAACCCACAAAAGACCCAGGACTGTTGGCCGTGAGCGGTACTGGAATTCCAGTCACCGGGTTCATAGCGCAGTGAGCTAATCACTACACTCCCAAGGATGGAAGGTCAAGCTCCTGCCGGGGGGCCTTCACCGTATCAGCATGCCGGGCACAGAGGGAAGCTTCGTGTCCATGGAAAGCAAGCCAGGCCGAGGCTGCGGGTTCTCCACTGCTGCACTGCATGGACATTGCGGACATCGTCGGTGGTGCAGGGGACTCCATCGCCGTGGCTCCCTTCTCCCTCCTGGCTTCAGCCCCTCGCCGCCCCCCTTTTTCTTTCCAACTTAATTTTGGCTGACTACCTTTCAACCCCCAAGCTTTCTGTCGCCCCTCAACTACGACCAGGCTTTTCCCAAAACCTTTTTTTATCAATCCATCTTACTTGGCTGCATCAAAACCTCACCATGTATAATAACCCAATTTATTTTTTAAAATTATTGTGATGCTCGGTACAATTTTATAATTGCTGTAAAGCGCCTTGTTAAAGGCACTATGTAAATATTATTAAGATAAGATGCACACTTGCACAAATGTTGATATACATGTAACATACCACGGAGAGATCGAATCACAGTTGTAAAACTAATAAATACTAATTTTATTTGAAATGTATTTACAAAGTCTTGGTGCTTCTGTTGAACAATGCAATATTCACATTTTCATACATGATTCTGCAGCTTCACACGTGGTCACTCCTGCGAATGATCTGTTTAATTCCCAGCCAGGTCCGTCATCCCAGGCTTGGCTCAGAGCGCACATCCTCTTTCTCACTCGAGCCTACAATCCTCACATTTATACTCGCTGAATCAGAATGTTTATTTCAGTCTGCTTTGAAAACCCATTGCTCTAAAGTGGCCTTCCCTCTTTAGTTTGGTCAGTTGCCCCGTTTCTGCTTTTGTTTGCTGCTTTTAGTGCATTGCACATTGGGATCCTAGGATGAAATGCGGATTATAAATTTGAATAATTATTTAGATTGGAGGAATCTAATGAGATACGAAGCTCTTTTTCACAGATGTCCAGTAGGGGTGGGTCAGGGCCCTGGTTTCCCAACGGGTAATAAAACAACAACTCTTGAGTTTGTACTTCTTGCCTTGGGGCCACTTCGCCTTACCCCTGGTTTCTGAGTCATCGAGTGGCCCATCACGACGATGCTGAATTGACACCAAGTGCTCTGCTGCTCCATGTTGGCCCCACACAAGGTATTGGGGCTAACAATCCACCACCCTGGATATTCCATTCACAATGGTAATTTGGGGTTGACAATCAAAGAATCAATTATTTGTTCAATATTGCCTTGCCGGCCATAATAGGTGCTACTCACTAACAGCACTTGCCGCAACACTCTGTGAAAGCTACACGGTGGGGGGGAATCTTGTCTTTGTTGTGGAGACGCGGTCAGATTTACAATAACGCCAATGCCATTCACTCTCAAATATTAACATTATTATTTGAGTGCCTACGTACTAAGGGGCCGTCCATGAATGACGTCACGCACCTAGAGAGAGGGGGTCAGACATTTGTGACGATGTGTGACGAGGGGGGAAGGGGAGGTTTAGAAATGTGGCGTCACATCAAAATGCACAACTTTAAATAAATAGACAACACGTTCTACTTAATTAAATATACTTTTTAGTACATGTTTTATCCTACAACATCAGAGGGCAGCGCCACATTACATACGCACTACAATGACAATAGTTTAAAGCGATTTGAAGCATGTATTTTTTTTGCGGGGGGGGGGGGGGCAGAGCTTTGTGACGTCATATTTGAGGGGGAGGGTCTGACTTTTTGTGACGCCGTGTGACGAAAGGGGGGGGGGGCAAAAATCGTCAAAATCTCGTGACGTCATTTATGGACGGCCCCTTACTCCGGTATATGGCTTTTGAGATGCATCTCCTCGGAGCGTGGGGCTTATCTGGTTCCTCCAGCTTCCTCTGGCATGGAAAAAACAAGCGAGTCTTCGAGACTCGGTGTCTTTCCAGGCACACTCATTTATTCTGCATCATCTTGCATCAGCAGCATCCGCGTATTATCTTATCATTGACTTCGTCATCGACTTGTGTAATCGTTTAATTTAGTTTGCATCATCAACGGCATCTGCATGTCTGCGAGCCGTATTTCCACCACTGTCAGAAGAGAATAGCTCGTAAAACTACTCGAAAGTTTACTTTAAACAATTTATGAAAAAAAATGTTGTACAATGGTACCAATAATACCCATGATTTTTTGTGGAATGGGTTGCACTGTCGCGATATGAGGGATGTAATGTAGATACCACATCCAACTAAGGTCACCCTGGGCGTGTTCTTACCATTTAAAGAGGTATAGAACAGGAATCTGCAGAAATAGCGATTTCGATTCCATGCTCAACCCCATGCTCCAACCCATAATAGCTCGACCCCATGCTGAACCCATGCTCAGACACATACCAGATGAATCCCATGCTCAGATCCTTCGCTGGATCCGACTGCTTGTTGTGTGGCATTGCTTCCCATTGGCTGCTTAAGGCTAATGCGTAAGGGGCCGTGTAAGGACATGTTAGGGTGGTGCAAGGACTACGGCCAGGCAGCAGAAAGCAGATTGGTTGAGGACAAGGAGAGATTTGGCAGGAAAGAGAAACGAGAGGGGAGCGTGAGAGGCAAACATGGAAAGTTTGAGGAACGTACTGGAGGGTTCCAGAAAATCGAGGGTATATAAAGGGGGTGTGAAGTGCGCTCGGGGCTCTTAGGATATTTGTAAAGTCCTTACCTGAACATCGCTGCACGTGTACCCTCTTGCACATGCATACTCCCTCCATATGTCACGGACTCACTATTGCGCTAAATCGACACTCTCCTCCCCATTGATCCCACGCAAGCCGTGTCCCGAGCTCGTGATTGACGTGATTCCACAGTGGCTTCACACTTACCTCCACACACTTTTCACCATTCCACAATTAAAGCAAAAGTGGCAAGCTTTTTACATTTCACGCAGAATCGGCCAAACATTAATTACAAGGTGTTATTTTGTTTTGCTTTGTATGAAAGCAGCAGCGATTGCAACAAAGTTGTAGAATGATTGACCAAAATATATATCCATCACTTTACGACTTGCACCCATCAATCTAACTGCCAGAATTGGCAAATTACCAGTCATCATTCTCTTTTTTTCTGCTGTGATGCTTCCATTTCTTGTCTTCAATCATTTTTGTATGTTCTCCGACATTCTCATCGCTTTTGTTTGGCATCTTTGACCCATTTCATAACTCTCCTCTTATTCTTCTATAATTTTCTAATCAAGCACTTTTATTCTCACACCTTACCGAAACAAAATAAGCCTGATACGAAAAGCTTTCATTTTCGGACTGTAAGTACACATTTATTATTTTTGGTATAATTATGGCAGTGACTTGCTGATAAGAATAGACAAGTTTCTGTTCCTCAAAAAAAGAGTTGGAATTTATAAACACTTTTAAGCGCTATGTAAGAATTTCTCATTGACTGGATATCATCTGAAAATCACGGGGGGGGGGGGGGGTGGGAATCATTCAAAAATCCCTTCCAAATGAAATTAGAACGTGCTGCGTCTTCTTACCAATCATTTCTCTCCATGCAGTACCTGCACAAAATATTGCATCAAGCGTGCATTTCGAGCACCGAAAATGTGTGCCTATTACAATTAGTTTTTAAAAATACAGTATAGTTTGAACAAAATGTGAGATATATCCGATGCTGTGCGAGAACATTATTTTGGTCGGAGCTTCCTTCCTCAGTAAATTCTCATTGATGCTTCAAACAACGCTGCCAGGTCCTCTTCATTTTGGGGCCTTGGAGACAACTTGGTGACTCGTTCCTGAAACAGATTAAGGCCGGAGAGTTGACGTGTACAAAACATAAACTTGCCCATTCGCCAATTTATATTCAATGTCAAAGGTCAAAGGTGCAGCCCTGCAATGTATTGCTAACGTCACTGATGGCGGAAGGGCATCCACTATCCCTATTGAAATCCAGAACCATTACGCACACTTCAAGGAACATTCATTTATCACATCAAGTTTAAAGGGTTACCAGTAGAGTCTGGCGATTCATTGCTCGCAGCACTGCTTGCAGAAGGGCTTCCACTTGAGGGAGCTATAGACAGTCATTTATAGAGGGTACTTTGGTCGACTGATATCTTAAAAGAGATGGGAGTATCTACACTTGACCACACCACACACAACCTGCCAATAGATTCAACTGCTGTGCCAGGAGATTGAATCGGCGACCTTTGGATCGCAAGTCCACTGTGTTAAACGTTCGACCATGCAGCATTTATATTCAATGTAAGTATGTAATATAAGCTTGGGCAATTTACACAAACACTTCTATTTACAAATTGTTATGCATTGCCCATGATGACAAGATTAAACTTTGAATAAAAGTGTGTCTGTTCTTTTTCATAACATATATAGGTAGTGTGATAAATTACCAAATACTTTGACTTATCAGATCTCGGAAGCTAAACAGGTTAGTACCTGGATGAGTACCCGCCATGCGCAGCAGGTTCTGATAGGCTGTGAGGCTAAGTAGTGCATTGCAGAGTGCAATGCAAACAAAGTACATTGTTCTGCTATACATCTATGCTCCCATGTCTATGCTGCTTAACTTCAAACAACCTGCACTGACCAGCATGTGGGGAAGCCCTCATCCAGCAGTGGATTGACACAAGGTTCTGTATATGTGCCGTGTATTATAATCAACAATCGTACGGAGTTACGGCACACCAAATTACACAAATGGAAAATCAGAAATTTTGAAAAGTTACATTGGCAACGTAAAAAAAATGCGACAGCAATAAAGTGTACCGGCCATGGGGCAGCCAACTGAACTTGATGGGCTCTCGACAATACAGGGTGCTTCAAAAAATGTTAACATTTATATGGGACCATCGTTTTTAATGGCAAAAGAACGGATAATACACTTCAACATGATAACAAATTTATGTTAATAGCTTAAAAAACTCAAAGAGTCTCCACTTGTTCGCCATCATTGTCAACACATGCCTAGAATCTTCTCCAGGTGGTCTCCAGAGCCCAGAGGCACATATCTTGTGCTATTGTTGCAAATTCTCAAAAGTGTCCAATATTTTTTGAGCACCCTGTACTCACCTGGGGCAGGGTTCCCTTGACGAGTGCGGGGATGTCCTGGGACGAGTACCCCACAGCGCTCAAGCCATCCTCGACGTTGAGGTCAAACAAAAGCGCACGCAGAGTGTCGGCAAGAATGGACCCCGCGTCAGCTCGCTTGGCTTGGCTTACGTCCGCCCCTAGGCAGAGGCAAGCATTCGTGGAGGTGTAGTGGTTGGCTCGCCGCGCTACAAACCCGGCGCACCCGATTTCGATTCCCGCTTGCAGTCAACGCCGGTGACGAATATCTGAACCAGTTCCCTGGGCCTCTCCTTCGGTTGATTCAGTCTTAAATGAGTAATTATTGCGGTGTGTGAACATTGCCACTGGGCAGACGAAGGCAATCGGGCGTGTTGCTGGTAACCCACCTCCTCGCGTACCGTGCCGGCCTTCATAGGTGCTCGCTAACAGCACTTGCCCCAAGAGTCTCTGTTAAGGCTAAAGGCTATACATACAGGGGATCTTTGTCTTGTTCATTTGTTTGGACAAAGCAATATAAGGCTAAGGCTTTTCAAGAAAAAAATAATTAAGGATTCCATGATCTGACTCGGGAAAAAACCCATCTGAGTCAGATTTGGCATGGTACATAAAATACAGAAACTAATATCTGGTACGAAAGATGTATTACCGAAGCTATCAACAGAAGGTGTGTACAGGATTAATTGCTCTTGTGGCAAATGTTATGTTGGGCAGACAGGACGAATGATCAACATGAGACTAAAAGAACACCAAAGGAATATTAAATTCTCACAAATACAACTGTCAGTAGCAGCAGAACACACTTGCCAACAATGACACTCGATTGATTTTGATAATGTTGAAGTTCTGTGCAAAACTAGTTACTACTGGCTAAGACTAATTAGATAAGCTATCGAAATTGAGAGAAAAAAACATAATTTAACCGTTCGGATAGCGACAGACTTAGAGCTGCTTGGAAGAGAATCATCAATAATACATTGTTCAAATGCATGCCTATACAGATCACCATACGTCAAAGGGGATTGATTACCTGTTGGCATGCATAATGTATGTTGATGACCATATGAATAACCCAACCGGTAATGAATACCATTGTAATTTATATGCATTCATTAATCCCTCCCCCACTTCGCGATCGAAGGGCTCACAAGGAGACGTCATCACATCTACCCCTCTATTTAAGGAACGAAACAAGAGGATTTCTCTACAAATCTGGCTGCCGGGTGATGATGCTAGTTGTAATTACTGGCGAAACGTCGTACTCAGATTGTAAATGTTGTGGATTTGCTCTCCAACACACCGGTGTGCTGTACTAGTGACGAATTGGCATGTTCTGTTTACGTGACAAACCTTACTAATTAGCTGTTTCGGGTGGTGGCGGGTTTAACGACACATTTATATTTATGCGATCTAACCCAAAAAACTTGTATTGTGGATAAAAAAAGAACATCGTCAAGGAACGTTTATAGCAATGGCCCATTCACTCTGCAAGTAGAGAGGGCTGATAGGTACAGAGCATATATAATGACATTTAACTCATTAACAATTTTTTTCTGGCAAAAAACAGGTGTTAAGATCTTCTTGGGTCTTTCGGTAAAGTCACGTAGAATGGAAATAATAAAATAATAAAAATAAAACATAATAAAATAATTCTCACGACGTTTCGGCCACAACGCAAGCAGCCGTCCTCAGGTGAAGAACAGGTTTGTCGAGAAGACAGAGTCTGAACGACACACCCCAGGCTTGGAGCGTCTATTTAAGCTGGGTTGGAGGGGGGGAGAGCGCCTTGACAAAAGAATTTGCAAATCAAGAGGAATTTAGCATATTTATGGGAAATGCAGATATGCGATTAGTACTACTTGTGAAATGCGTAGGTGGGCGGGGGGTTTAAAGTCATATTATGCCCGTGCATTATGCAGGATAAGCAGCATCAAAGGGAGGGGATAGGGGTAGCATTAATAAAGGGAAGGAATGTTAATGGTATGCATTATTTTATTATTTCCATTCTACGTGACTTTACTGAAAGAACCAAGAAGAGGTGTTAAGATGTTAAAACACCAAACTGAAACCTTTTACAAGGAATCATGTCTGCATTAACCACAATGCTTGTGGTCAGAATGCAAACAAAAAAAACATTCTAATAATATATGTATTGTCTTTGAAACTGATTGGTCCACACCAGAGACAGCTTTCTTTCAAGCCTCGTCTCAAACGCTGTTAGACCAGAGGACACCATATTAACACCTGTTTTGTTGCCAGATAAAAGGGGAAAACCTATTCTCATATTTTGGTACTGGCAAAGGAGGTCCCATGATATTTTTTTTATTTTACCAGGTTAAGGTCCACTGAGCTATAATTCCACATCTCTTTTTCAGAAGCGATCTGGCCACAAACGATAGCCCAACGAAGTGGCTTATCACGTGGAAATTTACCGCAGCCCAATACTCTGAAAGCATGTTTCTAAACGTGGATGGCAAAACCGGAGGACCGTTTATACAGACATCAACCTTCCCTGTTCTGCTACATTAGACTGTATTTAAAACAATGGATATAACCATTTCTCAAACAGCCAACTGGCATGCCGGCGGCAGCCCTACCAAGGATTGCAGCTGCCTCGAGATGTCGCTCTGGGCACATGGCGGCGGTGAACGTGAAGACAGCAGGGGAGGTCAGCACCACCGAGAGACCGTGAGGCTGAAATGAACAAAAACATCAGGAAGTAATGATTCACTCCCTCGGAAATTCAGTGGATTGTTAAGATTTGCTGGTTACGATTCTAATGAACAATTCTCATTGGTATCTTTTTACCATTTTGTGAATTGTGTTACTCATTTGTTCTGTCCAGTGTGTAATTTTGTTCATCCCGTTTGACTAAATATCATGAGAATACGATTTGCACATAATTATCATTAACTTAAATAATATCTTCTCACATGCACGATTTAATGCACATGTATTGAAGCCATAATACAGTATTTTAATGTTAATTTATGCATATGTACTTGCCTATTAGATGTTTGATTTTTTCTTTTACACACAGAAACATAACTAAAGTGTTGAATGTGCTAATTTCTCACCAAAATTGGGTGATCCACATTGTAGTCCTTTGCTCTGTAATGTTTTACCATTCCAGCTATGGGGTACGACATCCCGTGACTGAAAATGCGCACGTGAAAAAAAACCTTATTATGAACGCAGTGTAAAAAAAACCTGCCAGGTTGTAAACCAGAACGCACGAATATCAATGAAAGTTGTAAAATAGCTTACACACACCCTCTCACATCGTAACAAAAAAACTCAACACATTCAGCAATAACACTGCCTTAATTGGAAATATATATGTATACATATACTGTAATAGCTGTAATAGGTGACATTTCAGGCAACGGACCTTTGTTCATCGCACGTGTGGTGATGCAAGTGTAATAAACTCTACCAGAGATGGACGCCGGCATTCCCAAAGCCGATCCCTGCAAACACGCTGGCGAGGTGCATGCTGGAGCGTGCCTCCAGGTCATCTTGCTGCCTCACTGCCCTATGGCACAAACACACAAGTGTCCAGGGGTATTTGAAATTGTTCGCATGGCAACCTTTACAGCCGGGGCGACTCGCTGGTAGAGTGCTTGGCTCACAATCGGAGGGTTTGCGAGTTCAAATCCCGGATGAAGGTTGGCTCAGCCCACCGTCCCTCCTGGGGATTTAATAAAAAAAAACGAATTCCACTTTGTGGGCGTGTCAACTGTGGTTGTTCTATGGCAGGGGTCTGCAACCAATAACACGAAGAGCCGCAATGCATGTGAATACGTGACGGTGGTCCTGAATAAACAACTTTCACGAAGCAGTTACTTGAAGAGGCGCATGCGGCTCCAGAGACGCAGGCTCAGGGGCTCGAAAAAAGGAGATGTCCATATGAGCGGGAAATCGATCTGACTTTGTTCACGAGTAAAAACAACTTCTTAGCGTTTTAAGCTCCGCTATTAATTCTATATACTGGTATACATTAGCAGGCTATCAGCTTCAAGGTCACACTCCACAGCAGTCAAATTACTTGGTGCACTGATGATGTGGATGACATGTTGAGGTATTTAGCACAAGACTTAAAGCAATTTGTAGCTTTAGGATGGCCATTCCCTAAGTGTTAAACCATCAACATCTGAAATATACTAATTGAGGGCCAAAATAAAGAAAAATTGGATTCCAGTTAAATGCCTCTACTTATTGGATGCTTTTTGTGCTTTGTTATTTTTAAAGGAGAATATGAAAGCGTTAACCATAGGCAGAGGAAGTTATTGACAGCTTTAGGTGATTATTAAAAATGTAATCTCTTGCTTTGCAAAATTATATTCAGGAAGCATTGTACTTTTAAAACTAGTGTATGGTAGCAAAATGTTTAAGTCAAAAATGGTATAAAAAAATTACAATATACCATTGTTTCATATACAACGGGGTGGAACGCTGGTGCGTGAATTAACAAATTTCACTCAACCCAGACACCCGAGTTTAGTGGTAAAGAATGGTAAGACAACTCTGATGACCGACACCACATGGAGGAGGCCATCATCCAGCAGTGAATTGATGCGGGGCTGCACATGATCACCAAATGAATGGACAACAACCGTACAACTCAGCAGTGGCTTGTCTAAACGAGAAAAAAGGGGAAAACCTATTCTCATATTTTGGTACTGACAAAGGAGGTCCCATGATATTTTTTTTATTTTACCAGGTTAAGATCCACTGAGCTATAATTCCACATCTCTTTTTCAGAAGCGATCTGTCTGTATAAACGGTCCTAAAAATGTGTTGGGGTGAAGAATGTAGGGACGCACAACGCACCTCTTCATGTATTTGGCCACGATTTTCAGGGCATGAATTGACCACACGTCACTGATGGGGTTACTGCCTTGGTACGCGGGCCGGTTGATTGGATTGGGAGGGCACGGCGAGCGCTGGTGGTAGGGGAGAGCCGTGTACGACTCCAGCGCATGGCTACACATCCAGTCAAACACAGCAGTGAGAAGGTTAATGCACAAGTCCATCGACAGATTGAGGTGGAGTTTAATGCGATTTAGATTTTATATTGGAGTAAAAATATATATACTGCTCATAATATTCTAAATAACACATCTGAATGTCCTTTGAGAGATAATACCGAAGCTACTATGCCTTTATAAGTCGGCGCATAAGTACTGCATGTTTCATTACTGCAACTTTTTGGTATGTGTGTGTGTGTTTTTTTTTAAAATCATTTATATTAAGTTCACTTGCTTGCTTGCACGCTTACGACTGAAAATCTTTCGGTCGTTTTTTAACCCACTTCCCGTGATCCAATCGAGCTGACATTTTGCACACAGACTCGTTGTGCGTGACAATTTATTTTCGTGAAATTTTTTTCCCAAAATTTTCAACATTTTAGGGAAATTTATTTTATATTTAATTACCAATTGCTTAATGGTGGCAGGCAATCATCTGACCCATAGGTGGCAGCCATCTCAAGCCAGAGGACGAGAGGACTCTAGCCGCCACGCATATAAAGGATTTATAGTGAAAAACTTTGTTTTTACGGGTTAATTTTTTGTGCGTTTGCTTTGTTTCGGCACAAGAGTTTTCTAAAACTATTGGTCGGCATCGAAATCTCACCAACCACAACTGGGCATGTAATGGTTTACGGCCTCAATCGATTTTCTGAATTGTGTTGCTCCATCGCGCGCGTGGGTTTTCCTCCGGGTTTCTCCGGTTTCCTCCCACTCGTATAAACGCTCGTCATTAATTGGCTGAAAAAAAATCTTCAAAATAACAAAAACAAAATGCGTGATCCTCCTGAAAGAGTCCTGCGACACAGTGTGGCTCTCTTGGATACATATTTCAAGAAGCTCCTTGGAGATTTCTCTTGTACAGTCCCCTATACATGTGTAATGTGAGGATATATCCGGGTCGCTGACGGATCACAACTCGTCACGATGATTGGCTCTGCCGGTCCTAGGGGCGTGGCCCTGACGTAATGGGAAGGTGACAGCTGTAAGTAGAGGATTGGTTCTGCTGGCTTTAGCCACAGCCAATGGGGAGACGAGTCAGGGGCGTGGTCCCGGGAGCCTACGATGGAGTCTGGAAGATTCCATAGAGGCTAACCAGGATTGGTGGAAAGGTACCACGTGACCCGGGTATTAAATAGGAGTGGAGACGAACAACACGTGGTCAGAACTGGAACGAACGGAGGGAGAGGCCAAGCGAGAGTCCAGGCTGCCACGTGGCTGTGCGCGTCTCTCTCTCTCTATCCCTCTCACGCTGTCTGTCAGCAGCGTGAACGAGTGTTGTAACATTCATGATTCAGGCTCGTGATAAATTCAATGACAATCAATGATGAGATGTTTCATTACAATACTGTGTATTTATCTCCTTCCTCATTTGTACTGCCGTCACGGTATTATCTGTTGGATATACTTCATGTCTTGTGAGTAACGTCAGTCTCATTACCACTGTCCGTCTTGCTCTGTGCCATTTGGATTTTGTCTCGATAGTACTGCCCGTCTCATTTGTACTCCCTCAGATCTAGTTTCTATCTTGTCTGTGCGATCTGGTTTGTCTTGTCCTGCTTCATTTGTGTGATCTGTCTCATTCGTTCTGCCAGCCCAAATGCAACATCACATCATTTATGTATATCATAAATAATCGATTCTGACACATGCAATTCCATGCCTGCATTATGTGCGTAAAATAAAATGTTTAGTCAATAAACCATTACATTCCAAATCACAACATGATCTACTCATTAATGAAATGTGTGTCTGTGCTCACAGTTTAAAGTGCGGGTAGTGGCTATTGGGCTCACCAGAGAACGTCAAATCCACTGTTAGCACAAACGCGCTCCGGCATGTGCAGTGTGTGCAGTGGATCCACCAGCCCCAGCGTTGGTTTCATGGCTCTGCTTGCAATGCCTGCTCACAGACAATCGATTACATTCCCATTGAAAAGAGCTGACAGTTGACATGACAAATCATTTGGCTAATCATCGAACAAAGACGGGCACTGTATCGCGCGCTTTCGAATGCGCTTTTGCGGCCACCTGGAATGCTCTTCCTTCCAATATCAAAAACTCATTTGTTTAGAACTGCTTTGTGTGTGTTAGTTTGTTGCCCTTCCCCCGCAGCTCCGATTAGCACGGTTGGTTACGTATGGTGTGAAAACAGTTCATCATACATACATACATTACAGTGTCAGCTTTATCAGAACTATACATAGCCAAGGTGTGGATGAAATCAGATGCATGGCTTAACTTTCAACCAAGCTTAGATTACCTGTTTTAGCCTTCAGTGGCTCATAGTCAAAAATAGCCACTCCTGTCGTCTCGCTGCCAGTGCCAGCTGTTGTAGGCACTAGACAAATAAAATTAAAGAACTGCGTGAATTTGTGTTAAAAGTGAACGCGAACATTTGGCACATGGCATATTCAACTCAAGAATATCACTTGATTGTCAGTAATGAAGGTTATTCGACAATACCTCACCATCCTTGGCAATGTGATTTAAAGGGGACCCAGGAGCAGTTCAGATATCACTTGTCATTCTTGGCCGAGAATCAAACTTAGGTCATCAGTGAAAGTGCAGTGATATTCTTAGATTTTTCGGTAAAGTCACGTAGGTAAAAAATTTAAATTAATAAAAGTAAAATAAAAATAAAATAATATTAGGATAAAAATAAGGGGATCGTCTGTAGCCTATGACAACGTGGCAAGGTGAAACACCCAGACGCACATTTATTCATGTGAACCTTATCTTCTACCAGTTATACTTAGGAGTGGAGCAGTGATGCACTGGTTAGTTCACTGCACTTTCTAGATTTGAAGCTTTCGTGACTGCAAGGATTCATACTCTGGGTTTTTCGGTAAAGTCACTTAGGTAAAAAATAAAATAAAAGAAATGAAAACAACTAAAATAACTTAACATGTAAAATAGGAAATTAAACCAAGAGGTTGTGTGTGAAAGTATGAATCAAGAAAAAAATATATATTTTTTAACATATAGATACAAATAAAACAAGAAATTAGCTTTCAATGGTCTATATAAATATTATAGTCTCTATCCAATGATGAATGTCAAATGGTAAGCAAGTCTAAGGCTGGTATTACCTGATCAAGTATTTCCAGAAGCACACTCTAGAATTCTATTTGAGGCCATTTGTACATTTATTATCACGAGGTCAACATGTCCTCCCATTGCTACTTAGGAAGCCGCTGGAGCAATAGTGCCCTTTTAAATCTGGATTGAAAACTCATTTCTTTAGAACTGCTTTTTCGTGTATAGTTTGTTTTCCTTCCCTCGCACCACTGATAAGCACGGTTGGCTACGTACGGTGCAAATAGGTTCAATGTACATACGTGCAACATACATTACCGGCAATGAGAGGTTTGAGTGTGGCGGTGACGGGCATGCCCTTTCCAATGGGGGCGTTCACAAAGTCTAGGAAATCGGCATCAGGGCTGGCGCTGTACAGGTTTGAGGCTTTGCACGTGTCCATGACGGAGCCCCCGCCAACAGCCACGTAAGCATCGAACTCACCACTGCGTGCAAATGCGATGGCTTTCTTGAAGCTGCAACGCAGCCCAGGGCAGCAGGAAACACAAACATGCCATTACACTTTTGTCAGTCCCCAGTGGCTCAGCGGTAGAGCGAGCAGCTCACACACGGAAGGTTGCAAAAGTTCGAATTCTGGTTTGGGGGGGGGGGGGGGGGGGTGAGTCAGCCCCATCATCATAATCGGGGGTTGTTAAAAGCAGTACCATTTTGTAGGGAAGTCAACTATGGTTGTCTGATGGAAATACTTGCCCCAGCTATGGGAATGTGGAAATTATATCACTGGCTCAGGGCTGGAAACAGGAAATAATCGCCACCTCATCGCTCATTTGAGTAAGAATTCATTCTGATTATTTCTTAGTCAGTTCTTTATGAATTCAAAAGCTTGAACCTAAAATATATAGATAATATATGCATTGTCCTTGAAACTGATTGGTCCACACCAGAGACAGCTTTCTTTTGAGCCTCTCGTCTCCAGAGGACGCCAACAGGCGTGTACAGCCCGGGCTATACGCCTTTTGTTTGCATTCTGACCACAAGCATTGTGGTTAATGCAGACATGATTCCTTGTAAAAGGTGTTGCCAGAAAAAAGGGGAAAAAGCTATTATCGTAAGTAGTGTGCTTATATCAGAAGATGCCCTTTGCCTCCCCCACCCCCACCAGCGTAATGTAAGAATGTGTTGCTCATATGAGAACGGTGCAAGTATAATGTGTCATGTCCAGCTGCGACTGTATTGTTTTCTCGGGAATGGTGATTGATGAGAACCTGGTGTCTGTTGGCTCCACACGCACATCGTCGTAAACCTTGAAGTTGATTTTGCTGCTCACGAGAGAATCGAGCACTGCCCTCACTGGAGGTAGCCGTGACAGGTTTTTATCCGTCATCACACACACATTGCGCGCTCCAAGGTTCTGCAAATCCTGCAAGAAATTACATTAAAACTAAAAAAAACTATAGACAATTTTTCTTCTACAAGGCCCACTGAGCTATATAGCTATTTTTCAGAAGCGACCAGGCCACAAATGATAGCTCAACGAAGTGGCTCATCATGTGGAAATGTACAGCAGCCAAATACTCTCAACGCATGTTCCTAAATGTGGAGGGAAAAACCGGAGGACCAGGGGATACATCCACGTGACCATGGGGTGAGAGATGTTGCAAACTCCAAATATGTAGGCATCAGGGTTGGGATCGAACCCCACGACCTCCTGCATACCAGGCGAGGTAGTTAACATCTCACCACCATGATAGCAGTGGCAAGAAATCTTCATTATACATTGTCGTTGAAATCCATAGCTTGCAGTCAACCATACAAACCTTCAAAACATTTAATCTGACATTCATTGTAATTTACACCATTGGAACCTCCTTTGCCAGTAGCAAAATATGATAATTGTTTTTTTACCCTTTTATCTGGCAACAAAACCGACACTTTTTTTTGTTGTGGAACCAATCAATTTCAAGGACAGTGCATACATCATCAGAATTGTGATTTTTGTTTGCATTCCAACCGCAGGTATTGTGGTCAATGCAAACATTACTCCTTGTAAAAAAAGGTGTCGGTTTTGTTGCCAGATAAAAGGGTAAAAAAACAATTATCATTCATTGTAATGTTATATTAGAGCTGCCAGATGTCATCAGCATATAAGTGATGGCTGACAAAAAAACTTTGCCAAGCAGGATGGGTATTCAAAATAGCAGGGGGCCAAAGATTGAGCATTTGTGGGACACCTTAGTACACATATTTAGGAAAGGAAGACAGCCATTGAGTGGCACAAGCAGAACCAGGAGAGAAGTGTGGCTGATACACCTACATAACTACGGAGACACTCATTGATTGCATGACCAATCGTGTCAAAAGTAGCGGAGCGTGTTTTCGGAGAACTAGGAGAGTGATCCACAGTTTGAAGAGAGGAAAGGGCCATTTCTCACATGTAGGAGAGCAGTTTCAGTGGAACGGCCTTAGCAAAAACCAGATTGTACTGCGTTGTGGTGACCATAGAAGGAGAGGTGTACAGAGATGTGGGAGATGATGACCCGTTTTTAGGACTTTTCTAAAGAAAGGGAGGTCTGAGACAGGATGTTAGGGTTTAGTATGTAGGATTTTTCACGATGGGAGTGACAACATCACCTTGAGAGGCTAAGGGAATGGTACCAGATGAGATGGGGGGCATTAGCGATTTTGATTATGCATGTTGCCAGGGTAGGTAAACACCTAAGGATGAGTTTGGTGCAAAGAGGATCAATAATGGAAGATAAACAATTGGTTTGAGATTATTTGTAACGTTTGTGATGACAGCATGTCAAGGATAGGTGGTGGATCATTATTAATGGATATTATTGATTTAATTTTTTTCTCATATTGTCATTTAATTGTAATTCTTGCAAATCCATGTAATATGATATGTTGCAGACATACCATGCCAATCTCTTGCGTCACTCCTTCTCCATAACGAATGTTGGAGCATGCCATCTGAAGAGAAAACAAAGAAAAAGCGCCGTTTATCACATGTTACAAAGACAAATCTGACGAAGTTATGCTACAAAGGGGTTTACAGTTTTTTTTTTTATGCTTCACAACCTTTGGTTTTAATGTAAAACATATATTTAGGATGTTCCTACAATCACATCTCGTAAAGGTGCATGAATCTTAGCGGATCTCAGAAGCTAAGCAGATATTTGGTTAGTGCTTGCATGGTTGACGACCTTGGCTTGCGAGATTGTATAGGCATGGCACTGCGAGGTGGCCAGGAGATGGCAGTGATTTGAGGTATCCCCTCACAAGCGAGTGCCTTCTCCACGTACTCTCGTTTCCTCCTACATTTTGTCACCCGTAAATGGTAATGGATAAACGTCCCAAAACAGGAAACCCTTTAAATCCAATTTTTTTTTACTGTACTGATCCCCATACCTCACCTCAAAGGCATAATCTGTCTGCCTCTTGCTTGCTTCTGCTGTAACACAAAACCATGCAATTCATAATTAACCATCTTGTACAAATTATAAGTGAAGCAACACATTCTGAATTATTTTAGGGGAAAGTAAAACAACGCTGGATTCGACCACCACATCTGATAGTAAAGTGAGTGTGAATGCCGGATTCGTTACCCTACCTGTTGCAGTGTGAATGATGTATGCGTTACCCTACCTGTTGCAGTGTGAATGATGTATGCGTTACTCTACCTGTTGCAGTGTACGCATGGGAATGAGCAGGACAGCGACACCTGTTGGTCATCGACATTGAAATTAAACAGCAGCTTAACTTGTCACAAGTGTAGTGGCATAGAATAGTAATGTAGCAGTATAGCGCAGGCTGCTGGCAGCGAAGGGGATCTGCGGCTTACGGCAGCCCTGACGTCAGTAGGCCACGTGATACATCAGAGGGGGATCTGGAGGAAAGGTCACAGAAGGGGTACACCAAGAACCCCCTGGTAGGTTCTAGAAAGGCGGCGTGGACAGTTTAAGTAGGGCCCGAGTTCGATTCTCGCTCACGGCCACCACCGGTGACGATAATTTGAACCGGTCCTGGGCCTCCCCTAGGTCGACTCAGCCTCAAACGAGTAACTGGTGTGGTGTGTGAACATCGCCACTGGGGAGACAAAGACGTGGTGAATCCAAGTCCCGAGCGAAGCTGGGTAGTAAAGCTAGTATGTATATATACTGTACGTGGTCTCGTACACATTCATTGCATCTTAATGCCTGTCAACCCCTTATCAGTGCCCTACCTTATTACAGACCAACTCAGACTTTATTGGTCACCCCGTGCCCTGACCTTAAATCTCAACGTTCATCCTACAAAGTCCCATCACAAGGGAGAAGAAACACATCCGGTGTTGCCCGTATTGAAACGGCTGTACACTGCATGGACCTGAAAACTCAATTTCCCCTAAACCGTGTGGGTCGACAACTTTTAGAACACAAATCCACCCATTACCCAGAGCGAGTCGGATTACGCGACATTACTGCGCCTCTCGCGTTGCAAGCACTTTGGGGAGTCGTCATTCGCTCTTTTTTTTTGCAAGCTTAGGGGAGTGTCAAAACCCCCCCCCCCAACACAGTTCAGGTCATTTCAGTTCAGTTCATGTATTCGGTAGAGCCCTGTGAGCCATGCGGCTCTTGAATGCGGTGCAACCGCAACAAACAAAAACATGAAATATCTTAAAGTGACTACGCGCAATAGAAAAATCCAGGAAAAAACAGCAAGATCTTCCAGAAAAAGCGCCGTATATCAACGATGTGTGCAAAATCCCAGTGGGATGCAAGTCAAACAATAACCATAAGACAATTTAAATTAAAGTTACGTCTAACTCTGTACTACAACAAAAAAATATGGCTAAACCAAAACGTCGAAATCACCAAAATAAAGCTACAAAAACAATGTAACAGTGATCATAGGAACTGTGATTCAAATTTAACAATAAACGATATATACATAACATGTACGACCAAACTTTGCAGCAATAGCTGGCAGCATGAGTCACTCCATAACAGCAGGAGTATCAGTCGGAGTATCAAAAAATTTCAATGCACCTTTAAAGATCAGCACACTATAATCAAAACTCAAGATCATACTTTGCAGCGGTCATCCGGAGTGACACATTTAATTTCAGGCCACTGAATAGCAGTGGCAGCCAGGGGTGTACAACTCCTCTAGAGCAGTTTTGAGTGAATATCTCACAGGTAGCGATCCAATTTGCAGTTTATACACACACACATAGCCTCCCGCTGATAGAATGTTGAAAGGAGGCCAACTTCAAAAGGGGAGAAACTCACGAAGCTTGCCGCAGCGCCTTGAGCAGCTGCACAACGTGATCGACCCTCAATGACACAGCCATGGCCGGCGGCCCTTGCAAAAGCGAACGCGACAGCGTCGTCGGCGGCGCACAGAAAGTGGCTCGGGAAGAATGCCAGGAACGGTGGTGCTGGTTGGAGAGTGGGAAAATGAAACCCCCCACCACCTCCCACCACGAGCCTCCATTGGCTAGTTGGCTTGTTGAGTGGAAGGTCACAGAGTGTGGGGGGGGGAGTTGGGTAAAAGTTGTTTTTGAATTGGGGGGTGGTGGGCAAATGTGTCTGTGTGCATGGCAGTCGATATCAGCAGATGGACTGCATGAAACTTGTACAGGATACCCAGGCTGTAATCCTGTAATTGTAAACAACATCATACCAGCGGTGACCAGATATCCATGGGTTTCTGTTTGAGGGTTGTCTGCGATTATCGCAAGGTCAGTTTCCCAGAGCTAAGAAAACAAACCAATGGTAAAAAAAAAACATTAAACTGGTACTCTTAGTTTTTTTTCGGTAAAGTCACGTAGGTAAAAAAATGAAATAAAAATTTATAAAAATAAAATAATATGTTATACATTTTAATTTCATTTTTTTTTACCTACGTGACTTTACCGAAGAAACTACGAGTATGAATCCTTGCAGTCACGAAAGCTTCAAATCTAGAATTATTGAACTGGTGTTGGAGAAACATTTGTAAACATTACTCAAATGGGTATTACACACAGCAGCGTCGCCACCTTGCTGCAACATCTTCGCCAGGACTCGCCTTGAAAAAAGTCTTTAAGACTCAAGTGAGGCTTTCCTGGGTTAACAAGTGTAATCATAAGAATACGTTGTATTTGACATTGTTATGTTATTATATGTGCTGTGCTATGCAAACTACTGCAACACAAATACGTACACATTTCCGAAAAGTTCTTCAAACTGCAGTTCACTCGACATAAGCTTGACACAATTTTTCTATCCATCTTGAATTTCCAGTCTACATCTCTAAACAATGCACAATTTCGTCGGCTATACAAGAAATGAGCTCCAAATGAACTTGTAAAAAAAAACGATGACTTCACGTAGACGACATGCTGTCAATAACTCTGAAAAAGCCATACTTTTACCAAAAATAGCTTTGCATGAACAAAATAAACCAGCGAGTTTGTTATTGCAGAAATATGTTGTCAGGAAATAAAACTGAAAACTACATTTGAGCAGCAATAATATGCAGCAACAGTATTTTTCAAAATGGATATGAATCAGTACTGTATAGGAATATCGTAGCAACCTTAGGTTATTTTTGGATGTTTATAGATTTCAAAAATGTTTTGATAATTTAAATAGTTGTTAAGTCTACGTATTTACAGTATGTTGGGCACAATACATTGCAATGGTTTCACAAACCGCCAGATGTTTTTTACATCTATTTTTGTAGTTATTTATTAATGCTATTTTCTAATTGTTATGCATACAACTTTTTTTTACCCAGGCTTCTCATGAAAAATAGACTAGCAGTATGTACCATAGGTATGTGTAACTTCTTTGACACCTTACGTGCTATTAGGAGTTGCGCGGGGAAGGACAACAAACTAAACAAAAATAAGTTCTATAGAAATAGGTTTTCAATCTAGACTGTGATAGAGTAACACATTAAAGATACTACTATAATACAACATGTGAATCGCGTTAGATCTGTTTTCTGATGACTGTATAGAAAGAACATGACCAACAACTTAATTACATTGTGTGTGCATTTTGCCTTGCCATGGCATGTATTAGTATGCTGATCAAAATAGCACGTGCCGATCGCTGTATTAGATAAGACAATATGAAGGCATTAAGAAACCGCCCAGGCGAGGTCTCTGCATCTGACAATGACACTGTCCACTTAAACACATTCCTGCGGAGGGAGCTGGTAGGAACGTTGGGTTGCTCGGTCAATGGCCAGGGTCAACGGCGGCGTGGTGTATTCCGCAAATATGCCCGACTGTGAGGGCGGGTACAAGCCGGCGTGAGTAGGTTAAACGTTGAGTTTTATAAGGGCACCACGGGGTGACTAGCCCCTCCCCACCCAGCCCCACCCCTCCCACCCAGCCCCACCCTCCGCACCCAGCCCCTCCCCACCCAGTCCCTCCCCACCCAGCCTCACCCCTCCCACCCAGCCCCACCCCCCACCCAGCCCCTCCCCACCCAGCCCCACCCCTCCCACCCCCCACCCAGCCCCACCCTCCGCACCCAGCCCCTCCCCACCCTCCCCTCCCTACCCAGCCCCTCCCCACCCAGCCCCTCCCTCCCCACCCATCCCCTCCCTGCACGACGGACACAATAATCCCCTGTGGGCTGGTGTAACCAGGAGGTTCCTACCAGTATATTGGTAAAGGTCCCGTCAATTGAGACGTGCTATGCGAATTTTCGAAATATTTTGCCATTGAAAATAACGTATTCGCTCAATGGGCCTAACTAATATATCCAGTATCCTTGATTTAACCAGGAGATTATACATTGGCACTTTTACTCTTTGGTTCTTTCGGTAAAGTCACGTATAAAGAGAAGAGAAAATAAATTAAATAATAGCATACGACGTTTCTATTGCAACACAAGCAATCATCATCAGGTATAGATGAGGCTTTATATAGCTTTATATAGCCTCGACACAGAGGCGTAGTTTCTCTGTGTGCCTATTTGTGTGTCGCTCTCTATGTGTCTCTGTGTTATCTCTCTCTGCTTATATGTCTGTCTATGTGTCTCCGGTTCTGTGTTTTGTCTCTCTCTCAAATTTAGCATTCTCTGGAAGAACGTAATCAACCAGCTACGGTGTTGACTGTTATGTTAGCCGAATCTCTGTGTTGTATTGCCTTATATTTCTAAGTGTACTAGGTTTGTTTTCTCTTTCATTTATACCTGATGATGATTGCTTGTGTTGCAATCGAAACGTCGTATGCTAGTATTTAATTTATTTTCTCTTTCTACGTGACTTTACCGAAAGAACCAAAGAGTAATTCCTGCAGTCACAAAAGCTCCAAATTAAGTTTGATTGGCACGTTTGTAAAGGCGTACCCGAGTTATAACACCCAATCCAAACAATGTGTGTGTTCGTATTGGGGATTTCCCGTTTATATAAACGACTGTGAAATTGCATTTTCACCAGCCACACCTGCACAATTAAGCTCAAATTGGTCCAATATTTCCATAGCATGCACTTACTTCATCAAGCATATTGAGTCATAGTATTCATAGCAGGATGTACTGTATAAGAAAAAAACATAATTTGGGTACCACAGAGTGAAACATTTGATAATTTTCTGTTTGATAGATTGATGTAAAACAGCTTGGAATGAGAATTACACAGCGCTGGCAAATTGCACATTCAGATTTAAACTTAATTTTATTCCAAAGCGCCCTTACGTTTCTCCATGATTGCATTGCACAGACACATCCAAAGTTTAGATAACCACAACCAGTAACGTGCACGCCAAGAATATACCCAAATGCAAAAATAAAATGAAAAAATGAAATGAAAAAACATTGTACTTTATATGTAACCACCCTTGAATAATCTCTCATGCATGACTAATGTGAATAACTAATTATTTTATTTCTAACTACGTGACTTTACCGAAATAACCAACGAGTATGGATTCCTGCAAGTCACGATAGCTTCAAATCAAGATTGAATGTGAATAAGTAAAATAAATGCAGGTTATATTATCTTTATGGGTCAGGCTGAACAACCACATGCAACAATGTACGGGTAAGCGATGTTTTGCCGTGGTGTGGTTTATCCTATTGCAGCTCTACTCTGCCCAGATTGTATGAGCGCATACTCTCATCCTATATACATACACACATTCCTCATTGCTTACCCACAACATGTAGCAATTTAACATTCAGCATTCTAACGTCTAATATAAAGTAGCGCCACGTATTAAGCCAACGCTACGGTTTATTTTGCGTGAATATTGTAGAATACAATATGCTTATTCTTGGTTCTTTCGGTAAAGTCACGTAGAAGAGAAATAATAAAATAAAATAAATATTTAAAAAAAAAATTCATACGATGTTTCGATAGCAACACAACACAAGAAAAAACTGGCACTTTTTTTCAAATTTTCTTGCTGTAGATTTCACACCTGATGATGATTGCTTGTGTTGCAGTCGAAACGTCGTGAGAATTGTATTGTTTTTTATTTTTATTATTTTATTATTTCCCTTCTACGTGACTTTACCGAAAGAACCAATAATCTGAATCCCTGCATTCACGAAAGCTTCTAATCAAAATTTACAATATGCTTCTTAAAAAAAACATTGGACAGTCTACACATATTTAGAGGCCTTACGTTGCACCGTGTCCATACCAAATGCGTCACTCAATCGTGGTACTGGCACCAAATAGCCCTTTGCTACGCTGGTTCCATGTTCTCTCAGCAGAATCACCAGCAGGCATCATTTACGCTGTGTTTGTATTGAAAGTAAGGCTATGTCTGATACTCACTTTTCATAGCCACTGCGGTTTTCAAAATTGACAGCACACATTTGTTACAGTTGTAGCATTATATTAGCGTAACAGATGTATCAATGTATAACATCGTAAAGCGTGCTTTTTTCCCGCTATCCAAACCACAGGACTATACTTTTAACATATTTCCCTGTTTGAAATTCTATTGCATGTTAATATGCCTTGTAGGTGACAAGTAAACGTTTAATTGCAAGCTGGAAGTGAGTAAGTGCAGTTAATGTAAAGCATGATTAACAATGCCATATGCGTTTACCAGTATAGTGATGTGTTAAACAACACTGCCATATCCTTTGTTGATGTAAAAGCCTCATCACATTGGCTCCTAATTGTTTTCAGAAGCAGGTTTGAGGCTAGTATAAAGGTTTTTTTCCTAAGGTTAGAATATACACGATGATCCATTTAGAGATACACCACTAAAATATTTGGGATACGTAATAAATATTTGAATTCTCCCGTCAATCGCAATACTGTTACAGATATAATTTTTTTTCTAAATATCTCCTAATATACATTGTTTCACGTAGCCATCACGTTTACAATCGAGTATTCAATCACCCGTTAAGAAGAAAGGAAGATGGTGTTTTGAAATATATGGGGTATCTATAAATGGATTGCCATGTACTTTCAATGCAAATTTTGACACGTCTGGATTAAGAGCGGCTTGCGTTGGGGAGATTTCGCCTCCTTCTTACGTATAGATTCACAAATCCACCTACAAAACATTCAGCAAAACATAAACGTTAATTTTTTACCAAACCAACGTATTCATTTCAGTAACATTCTATCTCCCAAATGTAAAGACATTAACATTGACTGGCTGCAGAAATTATAATCATCGCTGTTAAATATAAAAGTTAATGGGATGTCAAAGTTGACGTACTGCATCGTTCCGTTTTTAAGATCACCAGGCAATCGGTTCTACCAAAAAATAATTACATCAGCGTTCGGTCAACTAAAATGTAAAATGTTCGTGAATAATCAAATATATATTTAAACCGATGTGTACCTCTTCTCAAAGAAATCGATTATATTTCTGCACATATAACATTAAAATAGGATTTTACTTCTTACTTACAGGTATGATATATTTCTTCAAGAATATTCGTAATGCTTGGATTACCTTTGAGTGTGAAAGGAAAATAGGTTTAATGCATTCAACATTATATCAGACCTTTTAATATCTGAACATTGTGTCTCATATTCGTGGTTCTTTCGGAAAAGTCACGTAGAAGAGAAACAATAAATTAAAAAAATATAAAACAATATATTTTTTCCTTTATTGTTTCCCTAAAGTCACGTAGAAGGGAAACAATAAAAAATATTTATTTATTTATTTACTTCCCTTCTACGTGACTTTACCGAAAGAACCAAGAATATGAATCCCTGCAGTCACAAAAGCTTTAAATAAAAATTGTGTCCATCCCAGTGAATATCATAATTAGGCAGATTTATCCACAACATTCTATCAAAATTGTGTAGCATACTGCAATAAAGTCCAACACAATACCACCAGAACTCCGTAAAAATGAGTTCATGTAACCTGAACAAGATTAATTCCTGGACTGTCTAGAGTCAAATCCAGACAGGTGGCAACTCTACCTGGGTTCCCTCCATCACCAACCTGCGCCGACCAAAGTGGTGAAGTATGGTCAAACAATCCTACGGCCGACACAGCGCTGTGATGCTTTCATCCAGCATTGGATTAACAAAGGGCTCAATATCATTACTGTACCTTGTCTTCGGGTGACAATGAAATAGACTCACTTGTTGAACACTGTGATTAATCATACAATACTTTCTATGAACCCACATATGTACATATTTGATTTTTTTCCACAGCATTGTACAGTGTAAGGGATGCGAGGTTGCATGCGAATACTACATCAAAAACAAATCGTTTCAATATTAACATTATTGCTTGCTTACCTTATCGTTCCACATCACTTCAATGATTAGGATAAATAATCCCTACAAATGAAATGAAATTACTGTAATCAGTGTTTTTTTCTCAATGTAAATACAGTGTTTATTAACGGATGTATGAATGTTAACCAATACTTATGTTCAAGAACCTGTTTTGGTGGTGGAGTGCGCAGTTCATAATCAGTTTGCGAGTTCAAATCGAAGTCAGATGTTAACTCAGCCCTTTATCCCTCTGGGTTCTATATAAACGCGTATCACTTTGAGGCTTACCGATGGAAAGACTCCCTCCCAACATATAAATGTTGAATTCCCACATCTGGCTTAGGGTTGTAAATAGGAGTAGGATAATGATATTCAGATGAGAGGGGAAAACACTTTGACTTAAACTTTTTTTTAACTTTGCAAAGTACAGAAATTTGATTAATTTACACTGTTACCTGTAGAGCGTTGAGCACACTGAAGATGTAATGGAATGCTATTGGACTCTTCTTGTCCAAGGTGAAAATTCCAATTCCCCATGTAAGCCCCAAAATGAATGGGAGGACTGTGATGGTCTTTAGGATCCGCATGATATTCCCCGTAGTGCCGGCACCATTCACCCGTGTCACTGGCCCATTCTTCAGCAATTTACAAAGCACAACGAGTCCAATGAGCAGGTTGATGCCGATGATGGTGAGGGCTGGCACGACAAAAGCCAGGAGGGCACGAGAATTGTACCATTGAAGCCAGCAGGCGTTTCCACTGACATATCCACGTGGATAAGTTACTGCTATGGTGACAATGGCCACTACCAGGGGACATCCATAGCCCACGAGCACCAGAAACCGTTTCACGTGACGTTTCTTCATGATGGGGAATATAAAGTGTACGGAGCAAAACAAACCGATCGCCTTGCAAAGTGTTAAAAAGAATAGGGCCAAGTAAAAAAAGTGGGCAATAAAGACGGCAGCATGGCATAGCATTGTATTGTGTTTGCTCGACTTTGCTGAGGCAATGATAAACCAGACGTCAGCACATAAGAGCGACACGCAGATGTTGATTAGAACGATGTGCCGGGAGTATTTGGTGAGGTCACTCTTGATGCTCTTCCAGACGAGGGCCTCGAGAAAGATTGCAATGATCAGGCTCAGGATGGATATTCCAAGACATACATAGGTGATAATCGACAAGATATTCGAGCAGGTCTCTTTCGATGAGAAAAGGGTGCTGAAAGGCGTCAGGTGACCGCACTCGCATATTGTGAAACTGGCCGTCGACTCGAGCACGGTGCATCCGTTGTTGTTCCAGCCTCCCGTGCCTCCTTCTGTGTCGATGTTATAGTCCCAAAATGCACAGGTTGGCTCAGTCTCGTCTGGGGCGTACAGTGTAGACATATTCAAGATTATACTCTTGCTGCCTTGTGCATTGTCAACAATGGCCATTATTAGGCTGTTGATGTTGTACGGGTTGTTACACGGCAGAGATATGCCGATCCTCATCGGTAAGATTTGCGACAGGCTTGTAAATATAATGCTATTGATGGAGACTGGGTCTGCAGTGTTGATCCCTTGATAGGATACCAAGACGCTGCTGTTTTCAAATGTAAAAGGGATGGGGTTGTGCGTGTTAATGTCGAGTACGTTTCCCTTGAGCACGATGTTGGTTTTTCTTATGGAGGAATTTGTTGAAAAGAATGTTGCATATCTTTCAATGGACCTCAACAGGCTTGAGCTGTCTGATAGGCCTTCCTTTGCAATTTGGTCCCATGGTTTTTTCAGTGTTATATTTAAGATGTTGCTGGACGCTGTCAAAAAATCCTGCAAATATATGCACAAATATCCATCAGATGTTTAAGTGTTCAGCATACAAGATCAACATTGGTATGTATGGATGAGATGCACCTCGCAAAATGTAAATTATATTTTTGCAATTTCTTGTTTGCGCTACTGCTGGCGGTATGGCCTCCACTAGTGAGAACGCTCTAAAGAGAATTCTTCTAGAGAATATTTGGCTCACTCTTCTACGCCGGCTATAGGTGTGTTGGAAGAAGTAGGAGAACCCACACTTCACACCACCACGTGCGAACTGCCGATCAACTGTGGTGTACCGATTTATTGGGAGATTTCAGACACTTGTCCAATGTTTCAACTGCCATGCCAGGAGATAGAACGGTGACCTCTTCATTGTCAGTTTGGCGTGTCAACGATTAGACCATGGCAGCATCCCCAGCATAAGTACAGTTACATAATTGTGCACGTTTTGTGCATTTGTTACAATAATCTGCTTTAATGTGTTTTATTTATGGTATGCTTGTGTGCGCTTGCATTATCCATTGCACACAAAAACTGAGCACAGCTTTGCTAAAGCTTCAGTTGTGCTCGTAGTTTTGCATATTATGTTTTACATGGCTGCGTGTCAGGAAGGAAACCGGCTTCTGACAACTATAAATGGTGATTGTGATGGGAGAAAAAAAACATACGCTGATGGTTGTGAGATTGTGCAATGTTGAAGGGCAACATTAAGTCGTCTGGATATCATAATGTGTGCTTGAGGACGCAGATGTGCAAAGGCTTTTACATCCATATTTTGCCAAGTGATGTTTGCGGGGGTGCCAGATGTATATTCTGTGGTAGCTTTGCTGATGGTTTCTAATATGGTAGCGGACGCATGCAAGTCTCCATTGTAGAAATTGCCGTTTGGTGGCATCGTTGTAGCATTCGCCAGCAAACTCAGAATGGCTGTCGCCCTCTTTTGCACATCTCCGTAAGCCAGTAGAACCTAAAAAAGGGACAATATCATACAATCAGGTAATGAATATGGAAAAACGTATTATCATACTCTTTTATTCTTTCGGTAAAGTCACGTAGGTATAAAAATATAAAAATAACCAAAAGTATGGATTCCTGCAGTCATGAAAGCTTCAAATCAACGTATTATCACTTTAACAAAATGGAGGTAATGATTAGACAATTAGATTATACAGTGTTTTTAGGCTTATAATACAATGCATTGAGATTACATGCAATCAGTCAATAACATTGACGATTCGTACATGTAGGGCGGTGACGCTGTGGTTGGTGCACCTCGTTCTAAAATATGATGACGTTAACACAACGGGCCACGATCACAAATCAGCGTTAATAAATGTGTGAACCGGTCCCGAGTTCTCAACCTTTGCCAAGCTGCAGTGAAGTTTTGGTCCCAACAACCCCTCCCCCCCCATCCAAATTCTCGGGACACGTTGTGGACAATGCCTTAACCTGCCAATGGATTGACTAAAGGGCATTGACTAAAGGCATTGACTAAAGGGCATTGACTTGAAAACGTTGCACGCGACGGTTTCGTGGGAGCCCTCCGTCGCAAGCGCCATGCTACATTTGAGATTTGTGAATTGAATTGTGACTGAATTGTGACAACTTTTCGAGAGAGTGAATATTAAATTGCCGATTGTGAAAGTAACGAATTAGTGATTAATCCATTAAATTAAATTCTCAATATTCCAATACACGCATCAATTAAATTATTTTAAATGTGTATTTTTTGTATTCAACAACTTTACAGTGTACACATTCACAATATAAATTCTATACATTTACATGCATATTGATTCTAGAGAACCCCATAATCATAAAAAATTTATATACAGAAATTTTGGACACATAGGTCTGTAAAAACGATTCTGTTGGATGTAACACAGAATCAGTTCATTGGAATGATTCTAGCTTTAGGCTCCTCATAGTGAAACACAGACGAATGTTTAATGCATGTTGTAATAGCGTAGCAGCAATGTGCTATACAATGCAGTCAGGTACAATTAGTGAAGTGTACCTTAGACATCTCGACAAGCTTCTTGAACACGGGAGATGTGCAGTTGTATATCTCGTCTCCCCACTGGCCACCTGAGCCACACGGACGCTCAACAAAGCCGTCATATTCAACTGGACAATTTTGCCGTTCGATGTTACCTTCAGCAGTGGCAGACCACGTCCCATTGCGGGAACATTCCCCAAGTCCTTTTTGCCATCAAAAATTAAAGCGAAGAAACGTTACGTGTTGTCACGGCGGATACTACAACGTGCAGTCATTATTGAAAAAAAAAAACACTGAATGTCACACTGCGTGTACCCATAAGCAGGTATACAATTTAGATTTCAATTGTTAATTGTCCACAATGTCGCGCTGTTGCTTATTACCAGAGATGGTCACTACCATTTGGGAAATATTCTCCATCACATGCACGGTAAAAATGATGAGAAGCGTTGAATAACCAGTTAATGTAAAATATAATTCACTGCCAGCTATCCAATCCGTGGTACGCAATATACGATTCATCCAAAAAATACCGTACATATTATTATTACCTGGTAATCCTCGTCTGAAATCAATCTCAATGTTCGTCTTCAACTTATTCGCCGTGTTGGAGAACTCGCATGTATAGTTCACCTTCGTACTGCTGCAGTTATTCAACGGCACCTTGTATACACTGCATTCAGTGGCCATGGAAGAGGCAGCTGCAAATAGCACGTGGTTTTAATGGACTATTTTTATAAAATCTATTATTGACAGCCCTTAGTCAATCCACAGTTTTTGGTGTGTGTTTATTTTCTCGTCCTTCCCCCCGGCACCTCTGATTAGCACGGTTGGCCATGTATGGTGCGAAAGAAGTTCAACATTCAACCATACTTCACAAAGCTGGTCAGTCCAGGGAGGTGAAGGGAGAACCAGAACGAGTTTAGATATCACTTGGCAATGATGTTTGCGATGGCTGAGAATTGAACTAAGGTTGTTGGGTTCATAGTGGAGTGTTGTAAACACGAGAGCACCATGACCTTAACATTTAAAAAGTATAATATGAGCAAAGGTGGTGCTAATTGGGTTGACAGCACTTCCAAAGAATACACGTAGCATTAGATGGAATTTCTTTTGACAACTACCATTATGCTTCGTGAACAATAATACACAGAGCTACCAATCGCAGTGATGGGAAATGCTAAAATATTACTTCTGAATAAACATATTTTTCATTATAAACTTAGGCAACAATACTACGTGGCAAATATGTGAAATATGACTTTTTAACCATCATAATACGTATTATGCAATCTACAGGATGCCGGTTCAATTTCCACACGTGGAGATTGTTTACCCAACAATACAGATAGGTTCACCACAGTCGATCGACAGGTTGCAAATGTAGTGGTACTTCCACCTCTTCTAAGACACCTGACCAACAGGGAAGCGCAGGCCATAAACACGCTATTGTGAGGCTTTTTAGAGCTTCCTCGAGTGGAGGCTCTTCCGCCAGCAGTGAAATAAGCAAACGATTGCAGGCTGCACCTCTAACCCTTCTCTTTTTGCACACTACATCAATTCATGAGCTAGTTTGGCACACACATTTGAGAAAAAATTTGCAACGGAAGCAGGCGGACTTTCCAGGACAACAAGCATAAGCACCAAGTTCAATGTTTGCTGGACTGTGAAGACACTTTTAGTTTTTTTAAAATAAATTTTGCATATTTGTCAGTGGCTGCACAAGCGTTGATCTAGCCGGCTCTGTATTTGTAGTGGGTTCAACTGAGTCGCAGACGTACTCTTGGAGGCAACACATTTATTTAACACCAAGACACGGGGTAACTGCCCCTTAACAGAATAACAACCTATGGTGGTGACCACCAGGCTAACTACGCTAGTTATCACGTAACTACGTAACTAGCTACTACGGACCGTGATCACAGCTCGGGTTCAGGTCCACGTGTTGGAGACTCGGAGAACATAGAACTTAGACGAAGGTTTCTTCAGGATGAACAACAACGCCAATCCCTCTGGGGGACCCGGCTTATATTCTCTGCGGCGTGGCTGGCTCCGCCCTTGGCCACGACCACCTTCCAGAATCTTCGAGCAGGATCTGGACCCCGATCACGTGACCACCCCGAGCCCCCACTTGGGACCCCTTTGTAGACTTAACTGGTCACGTGTCCTCTAGGGTCAACCAGAGTGCTATGGCCTTTAGTAACCCTATTCCTACGGCCGGCACTCCCACACCCTATCCTGTAGGGCTGGCACTGCACGCCAAGCGTGATGGCATCCAGCGCTATCAATCAGCGCTGACCGAGCTCCTCTAGGACCGGTACTACACCCAAATCATAGTGGTATCCGCAATGTCATTACATCGCACACCGTTTCTCTCTATGGCTGGCAGTACACAGTGACATCTTGCGATGTCACTCCATATTTATAAACACAGTGACAGTGCAATGTTTGCTCACCCAAAACCACGGTGTCTCCTTCATACCAGGTGACGGAGACATTCTGCACATCCTTCGCAAGACAGCACGTGACGCTTGGTGCTATGTCGTTGCAACTCTGATAGGTTGAGTTGGCCAACATAAAGGCTCCATAGGGACGCAATACCACATTTTCCAGTATGGCTTGTGCCACGTGGGTCACATTTCCCACTTTAAGCTGGCACGTGTAGTTGCCTGCGGAGTTTTATTTATTCGTTATCATCGCACATCACATCGCTTCACAGGGGCAATCTGCATTGTGGCCTAGTGTTCATGCACAAATATGATTCACTATGACAATAATAAGTAGTGATATTTTTTGCATATTCTTTGTGTTGCGTCGTTCGTGCACATTGCACCTCAAAAGGTTTTCCCCGCACGGAGGGGTGGGGAAAACCACAGGCGAGCGTGAAGGCAAGCCAGAACCAGCGCAAATAATTGTCCATGCGGTGTCCCTCGATTTGAATGTTTGATCAGCTTCCAAAACTGAGTGTGTATACGTGTGGCAGAAGACAGGAGTGTGTGAGGGCTGAGGGGATAGCACAACAATCATCGTACAGATGGAAATTAATCAACTTGCTGTACTGACATACCCTGGCAAAACCAAATGAATTGACCAAAACTGAATGTAGCACCCCAAAGTGTTCGATAGTATGCTTTGCTGTCGTGTATAGTGGCATTGCTAAGCAAGTATACGAGATATTAATTGGACATAGTGTTCTTAAAATTAAGCAAATATTCCCAAACGTTTGTACGCCAAATACGTTTCATGAATCAGCATGCCTCTTTAGATTATTTGATTCCATGAAAATAGTGTTAATTTCATTGCAGAAGTTCACATAGTACAGTAATCTTAAAATGTATTGAAGTTGAACAAAAGCGACCATTTGGACAACAATTGACCGATATATTTGTGTTCTAAACTATGAATTGCATGTGTAATCCACACACCTTCATAAATTGTTCTCATTTCATTTATAACCAGTGTAGATTTCACGGATGTGATTCCACTCATTGTTGAGAAATGCATCTCTTGGCCATTCTCCTGCACAGTTTCACCATTCTTGGTCCACGTCACACCGACTTGGACATTGCTTGGCAGAACACAATCCAGCTTCACCCGGCATCCCTCTGTGATGGCTGACGATGGATCAGCTGGGATAAACGCCAAGCCTGCGGCAGTAACGATACGGTAATAACATTAGGTGGAACATTAAAGACGGGCCACAGTGCGATTTTGGCCACGCAACCCAGAATCTCAAAATCAGAATCTTTACTTCGATTGGATAAATCCAATGAGCTATGAAGTTCTTTTTCAAGGATCAGTTCAACACGTACGCCTTAGTAATTTGGCAGTGTCGGGTGGAGGCGGGTTTAACGACACATTTATATTTGCGCGATCTAACCCAAAAAACAAACTTTATTATGTTTCTTCAAAGATGTCCAGTAAGAGCGGGTCAGCAAAAAGTTCGAACAACAAACAATACAAATAGAGAAAAGGTAAGCAAGTCACAATAGATATATACAAAGTTCAAATTGCATAAGCCCATTAATTCCTGCCGATTTTTCAATATCAAATGCAAGCTTGGGCAAGGTTCAGGTTAACTTAAAACCAATTGAACTGGTTACGATTCAATCAGTTTAAAATGCCTCAGAAGATTAAGTTCCGGGTCACAGTTTAACAACAACAAAAAAGTGTAATGCCGTTCAAGTATTTCAAAACCAAAACTGTTGTTTTATTACACTGCCAATATGGTTTGAATGGCTGAATCAAGGATGACTATGTGTGTTGTCAGATATATGGGCAGACGGAGCTACAAGGAAGACAAGTATAGATGCAGAGAAAAATATATTTTATCTCACTGGCCACTTTTGCAAGCAGGAAAAATAAAATTAACGTTGGATTTTATGCATGTTATATCATTCAATAAACATACAGACCTCCACGTGCACCTCTCTGCATCTCTATTTGCCCTCTGTGCATTTCAAAATGAAGCGAACACTGCAAAGGTAAACGTCACGTCTGTTTATCTTTGTCCCTCTGCGTCTCTAGAAGTGTCTGTGTCTGTCTGTGTTCATGTCTGAGTCTGAGTGCAGCTCTTACCTTGTAAGGCTAGGTGCAGAGCTTTGTGCAACTAACATACCCCAAGTGATGTCGTGCCCTGAACCAGTAGCAAACATTCCACATTCCCATGGCAGGAGCGAGTCCAGCCATATGGCAACCATTGTTGACTTCTCCACAAAGTGGTACTTAATTTATCGACCCACGGAGGAACGGATGATCGGGCTTAGTCAACCTCAAAACCAGTATTTTAATGAGCGGCCGCAGAAGCGCATGTGAACGCACGCGATTCAGTGACCGTCTTTGTTCGATGGAAAGCCAAAAGCCACTGGAGTTCGAGTGATGGATTATGTTCGTTGACGAAATTAGCAAGGCATTGTGGTTCATGCACATACCACTCACCTTTCACGGTGGTGTTCAGCTTTTGTGCCATGTCAACAGGTAGTCCTTGTTGCTGAAGGTATTCTAAACCATTTTGGGTAAAATTGAGCAAGTCGACAATATCCATGAAGCCTCCCTGAACCTGAAAGTCTGCAATGACATTGTTTGGTCTGCAAAAAATATATGTATTAGGCATTTATACTTTCATAATCCGACAAGATGTAAACAAAACGTGCAGCAAATGAAACGATTACCTGAATCCCAATACGGATGTACGTAAGACTCCACTGTACTTTATGGGAAGGTTGTTGAGCTGAGAAAAGAGTCAAACTAAACATTACAAAAATAAAATGTCTCAACATTTAAATTAATCTTGGTGCGATATTGATCAAATGCAATTATTTTATTCAGAAGGGCACACAACCATTTGGATATATACATGAAAACAATGCTTTTAAATTGTTCTAATGTACTCTTCTTTTTTAGCCTGGAGTATCAGAAATTCTTGATGGCAAAAGTACTGCACAGTACTATTTCAGCACAGTACCTGATATGTGAGATCGCCAGATAGTGACTGATATTCAGTGGAACGGACATCATTGAGGCCTTCTGAGAATGACATGTTGAGAACAAGTGACATTTTTTCTGTCACTGCAAGAAAACATACGTGACAAGAGTTAATCAAATGTACTTGTTCTTTTAAAATATCTCTGCATTGATATGTCGTTAGAATCTGGACAAAATTTGAATGACAACAACAACATATCCAGAAAAGGTCATTTTGGAAGCGTGCACGCATACTCTGTGTGACGTGAATATCAGAATTGAAATGACGTGGACCAGCTAGTTGGCAATCGTCAACGTGCCCAGCAAACATCTTATCGGCGACCCCATCACCACATTGCCTGGTTTCAATTCCTCGATGAAACTATTGGCAAGCACTTAACCATAAACGCACAGACCACGGAGTATCCGGATTCGTCATGCACAAGTGGAAAATCTAAAACTCTGCTGTGAGCAACTGACTGAGGCCATGAACACCAAACCATGGAACTTCGCACTGCCAGAAATATAAACTGGAAAGCGGTGGGTGAGTGAGTCGGTGTATCTGCAATTCTCAGACTAAGCAATTCAATAGTTAAATTACATGGACCTGCATCTCTTGTAGGTTATTTAACTATGATTCATTCTTATTTATTTTACCAGGTTAGGCGCACTGCGCCTTCAATTAGCACGGTTGGATACGTACAGTGCGAAACAAGTTCCACAGAGATCAGCAAGGCATTGTGGTTAATTCGCATACCACTCACCTGTCACGGTGGTGTTCCGCTTTTGTGCCATGTCAACAGGTAGTCCTCGTTGCTGAAGGTATTCTAAATCATTTCGGATAAATTTGAGCAGGTCGAAAATATCCATGTAGCCTCCCTGAACCTGAAAGTCTGCAATTACATTGTTTGGTCTGCAAAAAATATATGTATTAGGCATTTATACTTTCATAATCCGACAAGATGTAAACAAAACGTGCAGCAAATGAAACGATTACCTGAATCCCAATACGGATGTACGTAAGACTCCACTGTACTCTATGTAAAGGTTGTTGAGCTGAGAATGCACAGATGAATAAAAATAAAAGAGTCAAGCTATACATTACAAAAATAAAATGTCTCAACATTCTCAATTAATCTTGGTGCGATATTGATCAAATGCAATTATTTTATTCAGAAGGGCACATAACCATTTGGATATATACATGAAAACAGTGCTTTTAAATTGTTCTACTGTACTCTTCTTTTTTAGCCTGGAGTATCAGAAATTATTGATGGCAAAAGTACTGCACAGTACTATTTCAGCACAGTACCTGATTTGTGAGATCGCTAGATAGTGACTGATATTCAGTGGAACGGACATCATTGAGGCCTTCTGAGAAAAACATGTTGAGAACAAGTGACATTTCTGCTGTCACTGCAAGAAAACACACGTAACAAAAGTTAATCAAACGTGTCCGCGAGCACAAGTCAGATCTGAAACACGGCAGAACCGATTCTTCGGCCGTTGCCGATCATTGCTACAACTCTGTGGGCTCTCATGAAATTGTCTTTTCCGAGACCAAGGTACTCTGCAAACCTCCTGGCTACCATCAAAGGTTTGTACACGAAGCCATACAAATATACAAACACAGACATAATTTCAACCGTGATGATGGGTACAAACTGAGTAATCATTGGAAAGATGTGATTAACCATGCAAACAAGATTTAACTACACATATTTGGACCATCTTATTTGACAGACAACTATTCTTGAGTTACTGTCACATTACCATAATAAAGGCTCATTCCTTTGTTATGTAGACTAGCCGTAGTCTCAAGCCGTACCTTACCATATTAATAAAAGTGGGCCGGTCCTGGCCCATCCCCCTCCCCTCAACCAGTATATATACGGGGTAGTATCCCTTGGAATCTCTCATTTACTTGATACAGCAAGCGTGCTGTGACGGTTCCACCTGAAGACGGAAGCTTGTGTTGCCTCCGAAACGTCGTGATTTTTATTTTATTTTTATTTTACTTTTATTAATTTAGATTTTTTACCTACGTGACTTTACCGAAAAAACCTAAGAATATTAATCAAACGTACTTCTTCTTTTAAAATATCTCTGCATTGATATGTCGTTAGAATCTGGCCAAAATCTGAATGACAACAACAACATATCCAGAAAAAGTCATTTTGGAAGCATGCACGTTTACTCTGTGTGACGTGAATATCAGAATTGAAATGACGTGGACCAGCTCGTTGACAATCGCCAACGTGCCCAGAAAACATCTTATTGGTTACCCCATCCTCGATTAAACCATTGGCAAGCACTTAACCATAAATGCACAGACCACGGAGTATCCGGATTTGTCATGCACAAATGGAAAATCTAAAACTCTGCTGTGAGCGACTAACTGAGGCCATGAACACCAAACCTATGGAACTTCGCACTGCCAGAAATATAAACTGGAAAGCGGTGGGTGGGTGAGTGGGTGTATCTGCAATTCTCAGACTAAGCGATCCAATAGTTAAATTACATGGACCTGCATCTCTTGTAGGTTATTTAACTATGATTTATTCTTCTTTATTTGACCAGGTTAGGCGCACTGCACCTCCAATTAGCACGATTGGCTACATACCAGAGGTGTGGACTCGAGTCATGTGACTTGGACTCGAGTCAGACTCGAGTCATGAATTTGATGACTTCAGACTCGACTTGGACTTGCATAACAATGACTTTGTCCCACCTCTGAGGTGTGGACTCGAGTCATGTGACTTGGACTCGAGTCAGACTCGAGTCATGAATTTGATGACTTCAGACTCGACTTGGACTTGCATAACAATGACTTTGTCCCACCTCTGCTACATACAGTGCGAAACAAGTTGAACATACATACGAGCTATACAGCTATTTTTTCAGAAGCGACCTGACCACATACGACAGCTCAAGGAAGTTACTTCTAATGTGGAAATACAAAGCAGCCAAATTATCTAAACTTTATACTCAGGTCTCCCTTGAAAAAGAGATCCCTGGTCTCAATGTGCTCATACGTGAATGTAAAATAAGATAATATGTGTATCGATGTACATTACATATTTTGAAACCTTGATCTAACATTCTTCAGGGAACTGGCCAAGTTGATTGATAGACGCGGGAGAACATTAGCGCAGGGGACATTTTGTCAATGGGCATTTTAAACTTTACAAATAAATGGCATGTTAGATACAGGAACAAAAAAACATTAAGTGAGAACTTTAAATAAAGTGATAATTGGTTCTTTACCCTTCTATCTGGCAACAAAACTGACACCTTTTTGCAAGGAGTCATGTTTGCATAGACCGCAATACCTGCAGTCATAATACAAACAAAAGAACATAACTCTGATAATGTGCACTGTCCTTGAAGTTGATTGGTCCACACCCGAGACAGCTTTCCTTCGAGCCTAGTCTCATATGGGTTGGACCAGATGACGCCAAAAGGCGCACAACTCAAGGACAATGCACCATCAGAGTATGAGAGCTCGGGGCAAGCATCTACACTATGGGGACCTCATTTGCCAGTAAAAATATGATAATTGGTTCTTTACCCTTCTATCTGGCAACAAAACTGACACCTTTTTGCAAGGAGTCATGTTTGCATAGACCGCAATACCTGCAGTCATAATACAAACAAAAGAACATAACTCTGATAATGTGCACTGTCCTTGAAGTTGATTGGTCCACACCCGAGACAGCTTTCCTTCGAGCCTAGTCTCATATGGGTTGGACCAGATGACGCCAAAAGGCGCACAACTCAAGGACAATGCACCATCAGAGTGACTTTACCGAAAGAACCAAGAATATGAATCCCGGCAGTCACAAAAGCTTTAAATACAAATTTAGTGTCCCTTTAGTATACCTCTAAACGACTGCAAGATAGTAATATGAGCAAGTTATTTGATGTTTGCTTACCAACATCTGATTGTCAAATAATTGTTTAATTTTGTTGTCGTTATTAAGCTTTTGTGGCCAGAGTTACTCTCTCATACCTGTCAACCCATACGGTGTACCCGTATTCTTGTACAGGGAAATTGAGTTTTAAAGTCCATACGGTGTACAGACGTTTCAATACGGACAACAACGAAGTGTTTTGTCTATTTGTTTGTGTTTCTCCCTTGTGATGGGACTTTGTAGGATGAACGTTGAGATTTATAAGAGCACGGGGTGACCAATAAGGTCTGCATTGGTCTGTAATAAGGTAGGGCAACGATAAAGGGTTGACAGGTATGTCGTAATTTAACACGTAGGCTTTCGCGACCACTATCATCTATAATAGATGTCTTTTGGATTAGATCGTGTAAATATATAAATGTGTACTCTTCGGTTCTTTCGTTAAAGTCACGTAGGTATAAAATAGAATAAATTAAATCACGACGTTTCGGGCGCAACACAAGCGTCCGTCATCAGGTGGGACAACTACAGCAAGAAACAATTGCTGAAGTGCGGTATTATACAGTGTCTAACATTTTGCTCCACAGTCCTTGAAGAGGCTTCCAGCACGTGCAGCGAAACGTCGGACATATCAAACAACACGTGGCGCAACCCGAAACCGCAACGGGAGAGCTGCATCGATTCCCCATTTAATAGATCATGAGAAAAGTGTGTGTACCTGTAACCTTGTGGACAAACAAGGGTTCTGCTGGTACACCCAATGCTTTGAATGGCCACTTGCTGCGAAGATCGTCGTCACTGAAGTTGGCTTGGCTGGATGTAAGTTCCATTTCCACAAAGAAAGTGTTGTAGGTCACTGTTTGGTAAAGGTGAGCCATTCAAGCAGTATTAAAGAACTGTGCTTGTTGAGTTCTTTCAGCCATCAACACGGTTTATTTTAGACAGTAACAACCACACAAGTATCAATCGTTACTTAGGTTGCATGCTTACCATCATCAATAACTCTGCCGGATCCATTCTGTATTGGGGAAACAAAGAAAATCAACCAATTGTACCCGTGTACTTCTAATTGTAATGTGTATGTTTAATAAGTCAATGCGTGTTGTCATTACACCTTGAGGTCCTCTACTTTGTGTGCAATGGAATAAATAAAATGACATTCATCTTACACTGGCATCTTTTTGAAGGCGACTGCTTTCCAAAGGTAAGAAGAAAATGGTTTCCCACAAAATAACGCAAGCCGTGAGCCCAGCGCTCATCATTGTACCGTAGGCCATTTCGAACTCACATCTGAAGAATGAAGTAATGAGGTTAAAATACAATGTCACACGATCATTGAAAAGTTTTTTGCACGATCCTGTTCATGCAAATTAGTTGTTTACAACCATAATGCAGTGTTGCTCTTGGGAAACATGGTATGCCATTGTAGTTAACGTCGGATATTGTTCTACATTCAGTGGCTTAGATGCATAACATCGTGGACATTGTAAGGGCAGTATGCACAATTGTTTCACATTGTATCAGAATAAAAGTATTTTTTTCTGGCTGGCTTCCTGCCTGGATTCCTGGCTGACTGGCGCATAAGTGCGCGTCCATCGTAGGCGCGTTATCACCCACATAGACGTGATAAAGTCACCCGTATCCCACGGCGACGCGCTGATGCCACGCATTTGGGAGGGTAGGGGAGGGTGTGCAGGGGATACGCTAATATATCATTGTATCAGGCAAAAGTTTTGCTGGCTGGCTGGCTGGAGGGATGGATGGTCACGTCCCTAAAGGATATGTGGTCTGCTAGTATTCCTAAACAAATGGAGGACGTGCAAAATGGTTAATGCTTAAAATTAAAGGCAATTTTTAAACGTCATTGTAAGACTAAAAATGAATAGTAAAACACATATAGAATGTGGTAGGGTGATAATGGTCACGAGCAAAGGACACAAGCTAATTGTACCAGTTTGGAGACTTGTACGTTTTGCAATCACACCGATGCACAAAAAAACACACGGCTCAAGGAATTAATGAGATATCAAAGACATTTTATTGACTTACAAACTAAGTGGGCTTGGTAGGGCGCACTGTTCGACGGGATAATGGTTGAAGGATGAGAATGCTGATGGAATGGCAGCTAATGGAGAAAACATGCTCGAGATGACAGCCACCAGAGATGCAGTTATAAGATCAGCTCGTACAGGGGCAACATGGAGTATGAAATCGCTAGACAATGAAGGATGTCAACAGCATAGCAAAGCCTTCATCCGGAAGTGGGTAGACCATTGCTAAGGATGATGGTGGAAATTAATGTGTTGTATATACTGTTTGATGTATCTTAATTTTGGAGCTTTCGTGACTACAGGAATTATTCTTTGGTTCATTCGGTTAAGTCACGTCTAAAGATAAAATAATATATTTGATGTATGTTAAGTGTTAATGCATTTTGACACATACCTGTATTACAGAATCCTTCACGTGTCTGTCTTGTCAGTCTTTGAAAGTTGATGCACACCGTACTTTGCGTGGCTGCCAGAATGATCGCTCGCAACTTTGCAAGCTCTTACCGCAGATGAAATCACACTATGTGCTCACGCCCTGCAAATGCTGGACTCGGAGACGCCTCAATAGGTCATTTTTAATGTACAGTGGCTGGTCCCACCCTAATGTTACGACATTCAACAGAGGGAGGGATTTGTTTGGAATATTGTGTTGCTAAGTCACATTTGGAAGGTTGCTCCTTTTAACACCCTCACCGTTTGCCATCTTCTCCCTCTGGCTGTACGCACTGCTGATTCTTTCCCACTCTTTAAATTCAGGCGTAAGCCGAATGGAACACTTTGTTTGATGAAAATTGCACGTTGTGATGGGGTTTCTCAGAATTGACATAAAGTGTTGGATTTGAATGATTGTTGCCTTGAGGCTTAGTGAGGGTTCCCCATCGCTACAGGTAAGCCCCTCCAAAAATAGCTTCCCGAAGCCACGTGTCTTCAGTGAACGTTGATGACTTTATACTATACTGATGAGTCGATCATGATGCAATCGGTCTATAGTTGTTTCTTTGTTTTATTTGCTGGAGAAACAAACAAGTTCGGTAGGCAATTAGAGATATCAGTCGGAGAGATACAATTGTAAAACTGAGCAGCGTATGTGTACCTGGGGCAGCTATTGAAGGCGGACTGAAAGAAAAAAATACTCGGACGAGAGCAGAGTTTAGAGTGCTATGGCAAGTCGAACTTGATCAGAAAAATTAACAAAGCAATGCACGTAAAACTAACATTTTAAAACGGTTTCATCCGATATGACACGTGGTTGAGAAACATGGGCATTCATGGTAAATATATCAAACAGAATACTGAAAAAAAAAAGCGTGGCAAAACTCACGCTTGGAATTGCAGTGATACGACACAAAGGTGAGCCGTTGGACTAGAGAACATATGGCAGGTTAATGGTACTGTATACTCCATGCCACGGTATTCTGAAAGCCGAGTGGGCTTGGGCAGGTCACGTCACGAGAAAGAATGATGACCGATGATCAAGATTAATCACGGTTTGGCAACCAAGAAAACGAATGTTCCCTGAGGACATCCACAGTTCATGTCCAGCAGTTTGATGGACTATACTGGTAGGAACCTCCTGGTTACACCAGCCCATAGGGGATTATTGTGTCCGTCCGTCCGTCGTGCATCCAAAAATGGGAGGGGTGGGGCTGGGGAGGGTGGGGCTGGGTGGAGGGTGGGAGGGGTGGGGCTGGGTGAGGAGGGGCTGGTCACCCCGTGGTGCCCTTATAAAACTCAACGTTTAACCTACTCACGCCGGCTTGTGCCCGCCCTCACAGTCGGGCATATTTGCGGAATACACCACGCCGCCGTTGACCCTGGCCATTGACCGAGCAACCCAACGTTCCTACCAGCTCCCTCCGCAGGAATGTGTAATTGCATCGCAGGATCGTGAAGGCTATAGGCAGCTTCGGGAGGCCTTCATCCAGCAGTGGATTGATCATGGCTGATGAAGATGTACATTTCCATAGCTTAGACATTTACTTGTTGAAAATATGAATTATATTTCAAATAACAAACAATTAATGCACGGAATCTAACGGTGCACAGCATCTAAACCATTGCACGAACTCCGGTCATCCTCGCAGCGGCTTCTGGCTAGCCACTGAACAAAGACGGTTGCGAGGCCCCGACGTCCACCCCGTCCGCCCTCACGGCGAAGGTAGGGCACGAAACGTCGACTCTTGCCTCCCGAGCGCGGTCGGTCACTGGAGTCACGGCGACTTGGCGAAGTCCGCGCGGCAGCTGATGCGAAACGTCCATCCTGGTGGGCGACCTCGCACGCAATTATTAGTGGCCATCCATTTAGTAGGTACGCATCAAGGGGGGATTAACCCAAATGTGTACGCTTGCGTATGGGGGTCTACTGACAATGTGCGTACGCATAGGAAACGGGGGGGGGGGGGGTGGTGAAGCCTCGATAATAATTTGTCTACATTGGCCTTTAAATTAGTTAGATAGTCTGGCGGTGGACTATCTGTTTGCTTAAACAAGTTAATATTATTCATCCTTGATCGTTTCTGCATGGATTAAATATCGGCCGTTCTATAGGATTCGGGGGGGGGAGGTGTAAAAAGTCCGCGTGCGTACAAAGGACAGGTGAAGGAGTGGGGTCAAGTTCTGACAGATTTTTCTGCGTACCTACTAGATGGATGGCCCATGAGCGCTCACTCACGCACACGTGGTAAGCTACCTCGTGATCGCCCACCACGCGTTTGACCCTCGCAAGGGCTCGGCACGCACACGCGGTCGCTCCACGCGGAAAGCGCAAACACCCACGCCACACGCTTTGGTTCTTTTCGGTAAAGTCACGTAGTTAGAAATAAAATCAAACAAATCACGACGTTTCGAGCGCAACACAAGCAGACCGTCATCAGGTGGGACAACCACAGCAAGAAAAAATTATTGTGGTTGCTTCAGCAATTTTGATATACAAATTCCTTTGTCAAGGCGCCCTACCTCCTCTAACCCAGCTTAAATATACGCTGCCAAGCTTGGTGGTGTTCATTCAGACGCTGTCTTTCCGACAGACCTGTTCTTCACCTGAGGACGGCTGCTTGCGCTGTGGCCGAAACGTCGTGAGAATTGTAATTTTATTATGTTTAATTTTTATTATTTTATTATTTCCCTTCTACGTGACTTTACCGAAAGAACCAAGAAGATGCTTCAGCAATTGTTTCTTGCTGTGGTTGTCCCACCTGATGGAGGACGCTTGTGTTGCGCCCGAAACGTCGTTATTATGTCATTTCTAACTACGTGACTTTACTGAAAGAATCAGAGAGTATGGATTCCTGCAGTCACGAAAGCTTCAAACCACGCCACGTACAATCGATGCTAATACTTTAATTGAACGATAAGCACAGGCGTATAAAAAACATCAATCTCACGGGTGTGACTTGGCAGTCTAAAGCGGTGCTCATAACTCTGCCGACCGAATCAACCTCCTCAGTAATCTCTACGTACCTCGTACCAGCATGCTAACCTGGGAGGGATTACATTGTTATGATAATATCCAATTCAGGGACTCTGCGATGTAAAACTGTCCTGCTGGTGTGGTGATGTGTGTGTGTTCATACCCTTTGGTTCTTTCGGTAAAGTCAGCGTAGTTAGAAATAAAATCAAACAAATCAGCGACGTTTCGATTGCAACACAGCTCCCACTTCAGCAATGTTTTCTTGCCGTGGTTTTACCACCTGATGATGATGATGATTGCTTGTGTTGCAATCGAAACGTCGTGATTTATACTATGATACCTCCTTTACCAGTGGCAAAATATAGTAATAGGTTTTAACCCTTTCAACTGGTACAAAAACTGACACCTTTATACAAGGGATCATGTTTGCAATAACCACAACACAAGCAGTCAAAATGCAAACAAAAATAAACAACTCTGATAATGAAATGCACTGTCTATGCACTGCATATAAAGGTGTTAGTTTTTGTACCAGTTGAAAGGGTAAAAACATATTACTATGTCGTGATTTATTTTATTTAATTTCTAACCACGTGACTTTACCGAAAGAAACAAAAAGTATGGATTCCTGCAGTCACGAAAGCTTCAAATCAAGTGTGCGTTCTAGATTTGAAGCTTTCGTGACTGCAAGGATTCATATTCTTAGGTTTTTTCCGGTAAAGTCACGTAGGTAAAACATTTTTAATTAATAAAAGTAAAATAAAAATAAAATAAAAATCACGACGTTTCGGAGGCAACACAAGCCTCCGTCTTCAGGTGGAACCGTCACAACACGATAGCTATCGTGCTGTGACGGTTTATTTTATTTTACTTTTATTAATTTTATTTTTTTACCTACGTGACTTTACCGGAAAAGACCTAAGAATATCAAGTGTGCGTGTTCAGTCTGGGGGTCACGAGTGGCTTTGAAGCCGTGGCACCACACGTCACTGCATTGTGCACTTCAGAAGCGCTTCTGTGGCCCTCTGGAACGTTCTTCCATTTCGATATTAAGAAGCCACTGGAGCTATGCACTTTTAAATATAGGGTAAAAACGAATTTCTTTAGAACAGCTTTTCGTGTTTAGTTTGTTGTCCTTCCGCCACACCTCTCATAAGAATGGTTGGCTACATACAGTGTGAAAGAAGTTCAACTCATACAACCATATATACAGCAGCGGTCCCCAAACTTTTTGGCACCTGAGGACGATCGCTTGTTGTTGCGATCGAAATGTCGTGATATTTTATTTATTTTCCTATCTACGTGGCTTTACCGAAAGATCCTAAGAGTATTTACTTGAAGTTACATTCCACATTATAATTTTTTTCATAATAATGTTTGATTTCCCACCCCCCTGACCTTTTTAATTTAGTTTTAACGATACTATCCCACTATGAATATATTGTAAATAAAGAGAGTTGATTATTAGAAAAAAAACTATCCAAAATGGATTGAAAAAAACTGCATCCCAAGAAAAAAATGTCCAATCAAACCCACCATGGAGTACTCAAAGGAGCACTCCACCAAGAATGAGGAATCTTCTTGGTTCTTTCGGTAAAATCACGTAGAAGGGAAATAATAAAATAGTAAAAATAAAACATTATAAAATACAATTCTCACGACGTTTCGGCCACAACGCAAGCAGCCGTCCTCAGGTGAAGAACAGGGCTGTCGGAAAGACAGCGTCTGAATGAAACACCACCAGGCTTGGCAGCGTATATTTAAGCTGGGTTAGAGGAGGAGGGCGCCTTGACAAAAGGAATTTGCATATCAACAGAGGAAATTAGCATATTTATGAAAGCTTTAAATTGAAAAAGAATGAGGAAATCGACGGAAGCAACCAAAGATTAAGACTACGTTCCCATGAACATTGCAATAGGTTTGTATGCTTGTTGAACTTCTTTCAAACCGTACATAACTAACCCAATTTTCAGAATCTGAAAATTCACTTTAGAAGTTCCACAAAGTGTTTTAGTTTTATATTAACCGGAAAGGATGAGTAAATAGGAAATGGCATCACTTATATTTCCTCACACATGCAATTACTAAACAGTGTTTGTCTTAATGTTTTCCAGCTGCCTTGGTGTCACGTGGGATCGAGTGACATTACTTTTACAAGCAGGAATATGCATCATATTATTACATAATGTAATTGATTAAAACATTGGAAAGCAAGATCTGAAATTGTCCTTAAAAAAACAAAAATACAACACTCAACCTTAGTATATAGTATATATGCGTAGAAAGGCTAAATGTTAATTTGAAGTTGAGTAGTAGTTTACAAATATAACAATGAAAACGTAACCATCGATCATAGTTCAGTTAGAGCTAGAGAAGAGGGTGGTGAATTTATCATCGATGTCTTTGAATAGAATTCCTTGGTATGAAGAAGGAATATTTTCGAAAGCCATTCCGTTTCAGCATTTTTTGCACCTAAAAAAATCAAGATAAAATACACTATTAAACAGTTTACACAAAGTACAATGCATACATGACACGATCTATTTAAGTAAAATGTAAAATTACAGAATGCTAATGCATAACACATTTGCAATTATGTTATAGACCGAATGAGGTGTCGTGAATAACTCACAATTACTGTTTAATTGGCTTTCCATGTGGTTAATGAAAGTGGTCACGTGTGTGCCTTTTAAAAATTGAGTGTAGTTTGCTCATTATGTTTACGGTACCTAACCAATGCTCGACCTCTGACAAAGAAAAGTACAATATTGTGTTTTTTCACGTCAATAAATCATCAAAGCTGCTTCTGGGACACACCTCGCCATAGCTTTCTTTGGATAGATTTCCCAGTTGTTGAAAATGAAATCAACCACCGCTGATCTATGGAGGCAACTCCAATACCTGTCTGTCACTTGCCCTCCTCAATCCTGCACGTGCCCCAACCATAACGACGTCTTCCTAGTTACATTAACAACACTTATCTTGCTGCATCCTATTTCAAACTTATAATTTGCCCTACCCATAAATGTCCGACCATATTTTCCTCGTTTACGTGTTTAAAAGTCCTTGAGGCAACAAGGCACATTCCGCTGAAGCTCATAACAAGGAGTTGATATTGGTGAGCGGTAGAACACTCAACAGTTGCTCTTTTTTTCTAGATTTGAAGCTTTCGTGACTGAAAGGATTCATATTCTTAGGTTTTTTCGGTAAAGTCACGTAGGCAAAAAATTAAAATTAATAAAAGTAAAATACAGCCCTTTGTCAATGCAGTTCTTTGACCATACTCTCACCATGCTGATCAGTTCGCATTGGTGAACCAAGAGGTGGATCTGGATCAGTTCAGAATGCACTCACCATGGCCGTTGGCCAAGGCTGGGAATTGAACTCAGATCGCCAGGCTCACAGTCAAGTGTAAACCACTGTGCCCACCGCTTGTCTAATTGGCCAACTATAGGCTCATCTGCTTTTGGTACGTGTGCTGTTTTAGGTTGCTCACAATCCTTGACCAGAGACTCTTTAGCCACCATTATTAGACGACTCCTACTCACGTCGTTTCACATCTTCCATGAAGGAAATATGGCTTGGAGACTTTATATGTTCTGTATTTAAAATAGCAATTCCATTGACGTCTTCAGGAAGGTTGTTACTGTTTTGTGCTCTGTATTGTGTATGAACTAAAACTCCTTTCCTATGCCATGTTGCATCCGAGTGCGTGACAAATTAAGTGAAAAATTTTACCGACAATGGGACCATGTTGAGCCATCAATCTACTACTGTAAATTTCTCATCAAAACATGAGACATCAAGGATTGACACAATAAATCTATAACTGCATGCACTATGATTTATCCGTGAGGTAGATTAAACGTATAATTATAATTAATTCGGATTCAATGACTACAATTGATTGCGGGTTGACAACACACATGCATCTACGAGGTGTGGATGCACGTGTCTTTAATGTTGATAGACGTGCGTAGTAGACTTACGTCTGGATCGTTTAATACGTTGCAGTAACAAATGAACAATCCCTGAAAAAAAGAACAATAACGAGGCAACGAATAAAAAAAAATTTACGTAATCACATATACTGTAATAATGTGTGACATTGGAAAACAATCATATGATGTGCATACATACCTGACAACCATTAACGATTGTGAAACATATATCCAATCCGCGATTCGGAATAAAAAAATCGACGGCCCCTAAAAACCAGAACAAGCCTAGAATGACCACGAGCACTGAGAAACAGCGTAACATGTTTCTGTTGGCTCTGCGCCTCGATGCTCCGATGGGTTTCCGCATTTTCTTTACGCATACAATCGCCACTGTGCTCAGGTTGACCACCAGTATGACAACAACTGGCACAACGAAGGAGAGTATGACGTTATTCTCGGTTGCAAGCCAACAGAACTTGACGTTGCTGTAGTTTGTCTTGGCGACGCTAACGGTGATGACCATGATGATCAATGGTACTCCGTATCCTATGCAAAAAGCAGCGATGGTGAATTGTCTCCAGTAGTCCTTGGAGTGAATGGGAAAGGTCAGCTGGTAGCTTATAAGTCCTCCCTCACAAAGCATCCAGAAGAAGAAGGCGAGGTAACAGAAGTGCATCAGTGCAGTGATGGGGATACACATGGTTTGGGTCAGCTTCCCTTCAAGAAAGCTTGCCAGCAAAAATAAAACGTGCGCACACATGAGCTTGATGCATATGTGCAGCAAAATTGTCAACTTTAGGCAACTGCTTCTCTTCATGAATGTTTTCCGTCTCATGGTGACGGAGAGCAATACAATGGAAACGGCCAACGTACAGATTGATATTGTTAACACGATATTTGTCAGGATATCGCTTGTTCCAGAATCAGGGTTGGTCGATGACATCAGAACCGCGAAGGGTGTGAAGTGATCGCAAGAGCAATGAACGGTGTTGTTGCTCACAACGGTGGTACAGCCCTCTTTAAACCAACCACTTGTGAAGTTGTAATTGCTGTTATTCGAATTCCAGTACACGCACACGGACGTTTTGATGAATAAGTTTTTGTTAATCGGCGAGAATTTCAGACTAATACTCGGCTTTTTAGAACTGGTATTTGTTTTCAGAGCAGAAATAATCACAATCGAATTAACAGTACAATCTTTGCAATCAGACTCTTGCTGTATTGGCAGGATTTTGTGAAGGTTTGAAAATACGATGGCTGAAAATGTGTTGTTCATATCCAATCCATATTCAACGTTTATTTGCATACGGACGCTATTGATAGTATTTATAATGTCAATTTGCGTATAGAATTCACGGTATATGGTAGTTGTGACATTAACGATTGTATTGTTGTTTGAAATTATAAAATTAGCAGGGGAAAACAACGATGTAAATTTCTCTATAGCTTTGAGGATACTTGAACTGACAACGCTAGAAGTGTTAGAAGTCCATATAGCAACATTATTTTCTGAAAAAAGTTTGCTGGTCACGTTTATGAAGATCTGAAAGAAAAACGATTCCATTATGCAACGTATTAATAAAATATTAAAATATCAAAATATGAAAAATGAGTGAATAACCAAATATGAATTCGTAAATGAAACCTTACCTCGTATTGCTTTGCATTAGGTGACATTTTTAATGATTCTGATTTGTCTGCCAAAAAATTTAATATATCAGCAGTTTCCTTGAAACCATTTGGCGATTGATTTTCAGAGTAAAAGCTGAAATTCTGTATTTGATCTAAAACACTGGAAACTCCGTATGTGTCGGTGATATTCTGCAAAGAGAACACATTAGTTGCATGCACCTGTTTGCTGGCTAATCATTGATCATCGCCTGCTTTCAGATGTGCTTTTGCGGCTTTCTGGAACGCTTTTCCTTCCGTTATATATGTATCGTGCATACCCAACCGTGCTTATCGGATGTGTGGGTGAAGGACAACAAAATAAACACAAAAAGTAGTTCTAAAAAAATCAATGATGATGAAAGTGCTGAACATTTAATCACATACCTTAATACTATCATAGATTTCTTCAAACTGACAAGAGCTCTGAGTATTCCATTTTCCATTTTCGGAACATGTCCTTTTAGATTGTATGTTGGGTTTGTTTGGGCATAGTTGTGTTTCTTCTTGTCCTGGTTTTGTTTCTTGCCATGTAATACCAGATATGGTCTCCTTGGGGCAAGTAGCTGACAAAACCACGTAAAACAAGTAATATTTACACCGTTTTTTCGTGGAGAAAATTTACAAATACAGAACTCGTGTTGTCCTTCACCCAATTACCCACGAGCCATTGGGTCCATGAAAACTCCAAATATCAGGGGCCCTATTCTTCCAATTATCCATTATTATCTCGCAAATTTTCGAAAAGTGAATTGCAGAACGACTTTCGATGTTATACACGTTTTCCCTGTTAAGAGGAGGCAAGTGACAAATCCTTCCCATTTCACATGGGTTGTTTGCATATTTTTCACATGAAAAACAGATCAATCTCTGTAGATATACACCGAGAAGTAGACCCTGTAACACATACCACACAGCCAACACAGAGATAAACACTGAGACCCACACAGAAACATGAAACAGAAAAACACAAAGACTGAGACACACAGAGAGATGGTGACATTGAGAGAGGCACAGAGATACAGATATAGACACAGAGACACCTACAGACATGGAGACACATACACAGACATGGAGACACAAATAAACAAGAATACGGAGACAAACACAACGACAGAGACACAAATACAGACGGAGACAGAAACAAGGAAACACATAGAGAGACATAGAGACACCCAGAGGGACAGGAGACATACGCAGAGACACGGAGAGAGAAAGAACAGACACGGAAGCGCAGATATAGAAACGCAGAGAAAAATAGAGAAATCGAGAGACCTGGAGACACTGCTATAAATGTGTCTCCGTGTCACTGATTGTCTCCGTACTTGTCTGGGTCTCCGTGTCTCTCTCGGTGTATTCGTAGATATGTCTCCGTTTGTGTGTGTGTCTAGCCTCCATCTGTGTGTGTGTCTCCATGTCTTTGTGTTTCTCTGTCTCCATCTCTATCTCCTTATCTCGAAGTGTGTATCCTTGTGTATGTTTCTCCGTATCTCTGTCTTCAAACCTCTGTATCTCCTTGCATCCGTCTATCTCTATTTGCATATATCTCCCACTGTCCTTATGTCTGTGTGTCTTTCTGTAACTTCATCTCTCTTTCTACATCTGTGTCTCTATCGGAATACTGAGATACAGAGAGTGATTGAAATACAGAGAGAGAGGGACAGGGATATACAAATAGACACGAAGCCACACAGAGATGTGTCATTTTTTTAAATAGCATGCATTTAAATTAATTAAATGTTCTTCCAATAATGCGCACATTTTTTTCGGGCAGCATCGAGTTGCCGTGGAAATGCAATAACCGGCCTCCCGCCCCCCAGAAGGTACTATGGCAAAATCGTCATAACTCCATTCCACATTTTTTTGCAAATAGGAGCAGTTAAGTGTGCAAGTTTCACCAATTATCCACACCCCCACCAGGAATGTGGGAGAAACTCGCAAATAACCCCGTGGATAATGGGATCCGTGATATTGGCCCCCCACATTACCACGCATAAGAAGCGTCGTCTTGTATGCAGTTAATTTTGTAAAAAAATATATAATTAGATTTTTTTTTTTACTTACATTTTATATTAAAATATTTTCGGTCCGTTTCATAAATTCCAATTCTTCCGTTGAGTATGGTTTTAAGACTCGCTGTTTTAACATTTTCTGGTTGATTAGCTTCAACAACTAAATCAAAGCTGACAATGACGCTGCCAGAACTGTTGGTACAAATAAGCAATTATTATATTGAGTTTTATTGATACAAATACAGTATAGCCACATTTGTCACATTTACTTATATCAGCACATATGTTAAACTTAGTTGTACAGGCGTTATTGTAAACATATTGACACTGTTTTTGCTTCTACAACGAATGTATGTTGATTATAACTTATTTATTTAAATAACATTCAATATTTGTACTATCAGAGCATTACTAAACATTGTATTCACAAAGTTAAAGTTACTCATATAAATACATAGAGTACGATTAAAGTCAAACATAATTTTTCCCAGTGATAATATTCTAGATGTGGCATGCACTGATTTCCAAAATAAGAACACCAAAGGAATATGAAATACTCCCAAATACAGCAGTTGACAGTGGCAGAACACACGTGCCAACAAGGACACTCAATTGATTTTGATCATGTTGAAGTTATGTGCAAAACTAGTTACGGCTGGTCAGGACTAATTACATCTATCGAAATTGAGAGAAATAAAAATAATAATTTTAACCGTTCGCATCACAAGTGACGTCATCACATCTATTCCTCTATTTATGGAACGAAACAGGAGGATTTCTCCATAAATCTGGCTGTCGCCTGATGATGCTAGTTGTAATTACTGGGGAAACGTCGTATTCAGATTGTAAATGTTGTGGATTTACTCTCCAGCACAACAATGTGCTGTACTAGAAGCGAATGGGAATGTTTTGTTTACGTGACAAACCTAATTGTCCGTATCGGGTGGTGGCGAGTTTAACAACACATTTATATTAACGCGATCTTCACCCCCGAAGAAACTATCTTATGGTAAATTATGCATCTATCAGTTTTGTGTACGAGCTCCCAGACCTGGCTGGAGCACAATTTTCTACCACTGAATAGAGCAGTCAGAGGGCAGCCCACCTGCTATGTGTTTTCATGTTACCCTAAACACAACTAATACCTGTCATCTAGACCAAATGGATGTCAATCTTGATTGAAGTTTTCGTGACTGCAGGAATCCATACTCTTTGTTTCTCTCGGTGAAGTCACATAGGTATATTTTATTTCATACCTACGTGACTTTACCGAAATAACCAAAGAGTACAAATGGATGTCGTTAATTCGAATTAAGGTATGATCGGTAGTATTAATTGTTCATCATATTTAGAATGCACTTATATATTGATTTATTTGAGGTAAGCTTAAATGGAATTTACAGTATGCAAAGCTTTCAATATCATTGATTTATTTTAAATGTAAATCCATAAAATTGTATTTTTGTACAGAATGTAGATACCTGAATTGGATATTGGAGACGCCTTGAAATCCTGTTATGTTTGCATATGTTTCATTGAGCTAAAATGGGTTACAAAACATCAGGTAAGTGCACAACACTTTCACAGTATAATTTAACGCATGATAGGGGCTCTTACATAAGCATGTTATTTCAGAATTATTGCATTACAAAAATATGCTACCAACAGTACTGAAGAACACTGTTTTAAACGGTGTTACATTAGACCGTGGCTTTAGTTAGCCAGTTGAGGAGAGACGCAGGCAGAAACGGACACAGGCTTAGCGTTCATAATAAACGTTTTTGGGTTAGAATTGTAAATGTTGTGGTTCCACTCTTCAACACACCGGTGGGTTAAAGTAGTGAACTATTTGTCTTTTGTCAACGTGACACTTTTTTGCTGATTGGCCGTGTCGGGTGGTGGAGGGTTACGACGCATTTATAAATAACGCGATCTGACCCAAAAAACGTTTATGATGAATAATATTGGTCGTGAAAGCCTACGGGTTCAACTGACAGGCTTAGCGACAGACGCTCAAGAGAGGTGCATACAGAGACGTACTTGCCACTGCCTGTGGTTGGCATATTAATTCCGACATTTTAAACCTCAATCGTGCTACGAACGTTATCGCACACGTGGATGCCTGTTTTAACATGTTATCATATGAATCTGTGTACAGGTACTTACAAATTTAGCCACGATATTTGACATGGTGTTGTATTCGTTTGAAGTAGTTATGTTCAGGTCTCCATTGTACTCTGTGTTGATGAACTTTATCTGGCACGTGCATGTAACTACACAAAAAATATCGCACAATTAGCAGCAAATTATGAAAAAACATATTGCTATTTCATGTATGGACCTTTGTCAATTCACTGTTAGATAAGTGTCCCCTCACAGCATGTAGGTGGTGGTTATTTTACCATACTTCAACAGACTGGTCAGTGTGGGTTGGAGAAGGGGGAGAGCGTAAACTTGGGGAGTATCGAGTCAAAGTAAAGGACAACTATTTATTTTGCAACATTGCCTTTTGCTGCCCACAGTGTAGTGCAGCCCTTTGTTTCTGTAATGTCGCACTCAAATACGATGTCTTACTTAAGTTATATAAATATTTATTATACAATACAGCAGAGGTGGGACAAAGTCATTGTTATGCAAGTCCAAGTCGAGTCTGAAGTCATCAAATTCATGACTCGAGTCTGACTCGAGTCCAAGTCACATGACTCGAGTCCACACCTCAGAGGTGGGACAAAGTCATTGTTATGCAAGTCCAAGTCGAGTCTGAAGTCATCAAATTCATGACTCGAGTCTGACTCGAGTCCAAGTCACATGACTCGAGTCCACACCTCAGAGGTGGGACAAAGTCATTGTTATGCAAGTCCAAGTCGAGTCTGAAGTCATCAAATTCATGACTCGAGTCTGACTCGAGTCCAAGTCACATGACTCGAGTCCACACCTCTGCAATACAGTCCACCCGACTTTATAGGTTATCAGATGGACGCAGGTGGACTAATTTACAACTGGGTGAATTCTATGTAGCTGCTACACGACGCTCACGACACAGCTGACTGACTATATAGGAGCCGTCGGTGTAGTAGCTACGGCGTAGATATATAACTCCTTTCGCTAGCCTTCCAAGACGATGAGGACAATCCACAGCGATAACAGCGACGACGATCCGGACCTGACTCCGAACTCTCTCCTGGATTTTTCTGTTGCGCTTAGTCACTTTAAGATGTTTCTTGTTCATGTTTTTGTTTGTTGCGGTTGCACCCAATTCAAGAGCCGAATGGCTCACAGGGCTATACCTAATAAATGAACTGAACTGTTGGAGATTTCCTTAGCCTCACTAACGCCTCGTGGGTTCCACCCCTCCCCCCGCGGTGAATCATCACCCAGTTACCTCACTTGATCCTGCCTGTCCTCATCACTGCAATCATTATTTGTGGCCACTAGGCTACGTACTGTCCTTACATATAGGCTAAAATTCAGGCATGTATGATGGTCACCAATACAAGCCATGCCCAAGCTCTAATCTTCTTTATTTCTCAGATCTCATGAGATCAGGTGCATTTTGGGTGATTTTGTCATAGGCGATTTGGTACACAATTCAGATACATTTTCACGACATATGACAGTCTCTGGATGGATTGTTGTAGATACAATATAATTCAGTCCCGTAAAATATGCATGCATATGTACATAAAATAATCATAAACGACACACTAATCATGCAAAAATTCTCTGTAACAAATCCAATATTTGTGTTTATAAAGTGGAGTTTTTTCAAAAATTGACAATTTATGAAAAAAACTTGTTACATTATAACGAGCACAAAAGAAACACTTGTGCCTCTGCTGACAAAATATTACTCATACACAAACATTTGACAAAGTAACAATACATATGCATCTCCAACAGGCAATGTCATACGTGCTTTTAAACAAAAGATATATCTTCGTGTGATTCATTGCTTTTCTCACCAGTGAGGTTATTGGAGGTGTTGGAGGTAGGAGAGGGTGAAGAAACATTATTTGCTGTTGATCTATTTGATACCGTGGTGTTTTTTGTTGTAGTTGAGTTCAGGTGCGTGGAAGTGGTGGGCATGTTTTGTGTTGTAAAAGTGGTTGCAGCATTGTTGGTTGTTGGAGTGGATTGCAGTAGTGTTTGTTGTGGTAGACATCTGTTGTTTTGTAAAAGTTGGTGCAGCATTGTTGGTTGTTGGAGTGGTTGCAGTAGTGTTTGTTGTGGTGGACATGTGTTGTTTTGTAAAAGTGGGTGCAACATTGTTGGTTGTCAGAGTGGTTGCAGTAGTGTTTGTTGTGGTGGACATGTGTTGTGTTGTAAAAGTGGTTTCAGTGTTGTTGGTTGGAGGAGTGGTTGCAGTATTGGTTGGTGTTGGCTGGCAGCTTTTGTTGTTTGGAGTTTCCAGGAAGACACATTCAAAACCAGGGATTTCTGAGTTTGTACACTGGTTGGATGTTTGGCTTCCTTCCATGTTCCAAGTAAATTTTCGAACGCAGCTGCATTGTGACACTAGACAGACTGAACAAACAGACGTAAACTGTTATACAGAAATATTTGGAGCTGCTGTTATGTAACATTTAGGACACTGGGCATCAGAGTTGAGAGGTTGCCAGGTTGATTCTATTTTCTGGCATTGCATTTGAAACAAAGGTGGAAGCTTATTAAAATCCCCCCTACCTCAGTTCATCCAGCAGTATAGATAGGTACACTAGTGCCAGATTAAGCTAGTGAGGGGCCTGTAGCATCTTACCTATAAAAGTCATGTTTTGTCTGTCTGTGTGTGGCACAGTAAGGGGCACAGGTGGTGCATCAGCCAGTCATCTCGGTAATCTCAGTCAGTCGACCCGTGGCACCTGGGTCTGCCCCGCGACCTCCTGCCAGCGGGCGTTCGACACTTCACGTGGCCTCAAGGTGCACATGGCCTGGCACAAGCGTCGTGGTGACGTCACCGCCACTTAGTGGCAAATGGCGGTTTTTGTTGTTGTTGTGGACACACCTTGTGACGCATTTAACTCACAAACTGCTGGCTTTACGTTTCAACAAACTACACACGTACGACGCGATAAGCTCCCGACCGACAAATCGAGATTTCTTTTCCCATCCGTCAAGTGTAAAGTAGTTAAATTAAAATTGGTATCACTATTTTGTATTACATTACCACGCTAAGCGCGCGCCAAAACACGCATCTGCGCATGCGCGAGAACGCTGACTCGTGGTTCCCCTAGCAACGCACACGCGATCGGGAAAAAAATTATCATTTGTCTTCAAAATGCAAAAATAAATACACAACGCTGAGGTAAATTCTTCAGTGTGATGTCCCCCCCCCCCACCCAAATGCATGCAGTTACTACTATAGAGTCCGTAGATATTACTACTATAGTCCGTAGCCACTACTACTGTAGAGCGGGCGGGGGGATGGTGGGGGGGTGTGGCAGGCCAACCCCAGCCGGCCAAAGCTCCACCTCGGCCGGCCGGGCAATCTAGGCGACTCGGCCTCACCACGTCGTTTACGATGTCCAATGGCGGAGCCAGTGGGGCGGGTGGGGTGGCACGTGCCCCCTATTTGGGATTTCGATCGGATCATTGGGGTTTATTAGTAATAAATCGGCATTTTGCGACCCCACTGCCACTGTGTAGCATATTATTACGTGCCAGGGACTCTATGAGATGATAGGATAATAGTCTGAGTCCATAATTGGCAATAAGTAACGGCAAAGCAGTTATAAATGACTCACAGAATTGTGCGCAGTTGCGTATACAGGACACGACTTCCCTGAAGGCATTCACCTTCAGCGAGCGCGATGCCGACCACACAACGCGGTTCGAATTCGACCCTCGATCGATGGCTGCGCCATCGCCGCACACGCATCGAATAAAAAACAAGGGACAAGTCCTTACTAACAACTCCTATTAGTTTTCATTGCTGGAGTGGTTGCGTCCCTTACCTGAAAATCCTGGCTCCGCCATTAACGATATCGTTTACGATAAATTAGTTTGGTTAGGTCTTTTACATTGTTCTAGGTTACCATATTGGCAGATTCATATACATGAATGATATAATTTCACACATGTATAAATCACCTCACGTACCCTCTGGGACATTGCCACGTACCTCCAGGGGTTCGCGTACCCCCGGCTGAGAACCACTGCTCTAGAGCTTCCTCGAGTGGGGGACCCTTCCGCCAGCAATGACGTGAGCAAGCAATTGCAGAGCTGCACCTTTCCAGAAAAAAACTGTAGTTTGCACTTTTCAAGCTCTCTCTCCAAAACACACATAATTAGACAGAGTTTTAAGTGACGTGGTTATGCTCTCCGTATTGACACCTTCGTTTTATTCAATAATTGCTATTAGCTTTAAACGAAACAATACCTTTTGTTAAATTGACAGATTTGGTCGTAAAAAAATCTGTTATTACTGCTGTGACATTTTCAATGGGGATTGCATTGTCTTCCACAATGATTTCAATGTTCAAAAGGCGGTTTCCTATGAGAGAATAGAGGGGGAAAATTGTATTACAAATGTTTGTTGTATGATTTTATTATTGATGAATTCTGAATACGTGTAAATGCCAAAAAAAACCTATGTACTGTGTTTACATTTCGAGAAAGTTTTATTTAGATTTTGCATCGAAGATTTCCTCATTGTCGTCATATTTGTTGGGAAGTCTACAGCATAATATGCATTTAATTATAGGCATTGGAAGCAAAAGGTTTGAAGTAAAACAAATCTGAAAAGTATATTTTGAAGACTTACCATTTTCAAGCACCTAAAGAGAAATAAAAGTTGGAAAAATCAGTTCGTTAAAGACATGAATTTTTTTTTACTTTATCTTTAAAAAAAGATGTTGACATTGTTTGAACAAAGAAATGCATATTTATGAAAGTTCAGTTAATATGCAATCAAGAACACACCAATTGTCCAGTAAACTAGTTAATTAATTATACAATTGGACAACAATGTTCTCGTAAATATCAACTTTCGTTACCATTCTATCGTATAAAAACCTCTGTACCATATAGGATTACAGGATGGGAAATGTCTTTGTTATCAGATTTAGCGACATCAACTTCAATGTAAAAAAAAGCAAAATAACTTGGGAAGATCAAACGACCGATCGCAGCCAATTAATTAATCCATTAGGTCTTCAGTACAAGGACATCTGCTTGCTATGTTATCAGCGAGCAATATCAGACACACTCCATACTTTCTTAAGTAATCACTTACATTTTAGCATTTGTGAATGGCATTTGTTGCCAAGTTAATTTCTGAGAATACCGTGACACACGATGCAAAATGATATGCTTGGTCCTTGGGCAAACCCTACAAAATGCAACTATCACGTATTAATCAAGAGCACTGCCCGACAAAGAAGACAAGGACAAAAGTATTGAGAAGGTTATCCGTGGAATGATGTTAAGAGAATGGGTGATATGTATTCGTGAAGACAGGGTGGATGCAGATTTGGCTCTAGTATTCAAAGTGGCAGATCTCATAAAGGTAAATACAGGGTTCTTCAATTTTTTTTTAACACTTCTGAGAATTTGCAACAATACCACGAGAAATGTGCCTCCGGGCTCTGGAGACCACCTGGAGAAGATTCCAGGCACGCGTTGACAACGATGGCGAACAAGTGGAGACTCTTTGACTTTATGAAGCTATTAACATATTTGTTATTATGTTACAGTGTATTATCCGTTCTTTTTCCATTAAAAACGATAGTCCCATGTAAGTGTAAAAAAAAATTAAGCACCCTGTATTAACATTCGCATTCAATTTGTGTATACAATTATGTGCATGTATTATGAGCGTAAAATCAATTATGATCTAGGAATCTGTGTTGTATATGTACTGTACATATACACTACAATGCATATGTGTAGTGACACAGCGCTAACTGCTGTACAGCAGCTGCAACTGCAGGTAGACACTTAGCGCACATGCCATTGAGCATATACATGGTGTGTGTGTTGGCAGGGTGGAGGAACTGGGGCAAGGGTCACGCAAGACCTCGTGGGGAGGCCCTTGGAACCATCTGGTGGGTTCGAGAAGGGAGGCGTGGCTGGGGCGGAGCCAGGCCACCCCGAGGGGAATAAAAGCGGCGGAGAGCGAGAGCTCGGGGCTGCCGGTTCTGGGAGTGGACTCATCTCGTTGCCGCCACCTTCGCCCGATCATTGTGCGGCCGGACAGTGGTTGGCTGTCGATGCCGTCGGTGCAACGCGGATAGGGTCGTGTCTGGGCCGGGTCGTGCGGCAGCATGGTCGTGAGAGAGAGAGGGGGCCGGAGTTGGTGGCATGAACGAGAGATAATAAAGAAGGACGGTGGTCCCTGCGACTACCTCGTCTCCGACTGAGTGTGTGTGCGCCGCACGCCACCCGCACACACACACACACAAGCCTCGAAAAGGAAGAAGAGACCTACGACACTGCACATGTACAGTACCTGACTCTTAATGTAAGGAAAATAATGACCTCTGCCGTGTCAAGTCTCTGGCAACGCTATGCAATGCTTCGTCCTAGCTTCAGTAAAGTACACACAGAAAAAAGGACAGCTATACATGTTATAATATTCCTGTCATGCCTTTTTTATTTATTTAGAATTGTTTTAACATAACCTGATGTAACTAGACATCAGGTGTAAATTGGGTTAAATTTATTCCCTGGACATTTACACTCGTTAATGTAGATGCGGTGAAAAAGATTATTTCATAAAATTTGCGTATCCTCTTGTCAATTCCCATCACTTATCATGTGCAGTCTCTGGCTGACCAATGATCTGAACTGATTTACCTTTTTGGGCCTAAGGTTAACTTCTTGTTCCGAATAAAACGGATGAAGTGACTGACTGACCAACATGGATCAATGACATATTTCAGAGATATAAATAAGCATACTCCAATAGACAAACCCGGATGCAGATTATGTTAATCTAGATTGCTCGGAAATGTTACGTACACCACGAAGCTTGTTTGGAGGAAAAGTCATGGGAGGCGTGCACACTGATCATGGGGATTCAGAGAAACAATTACGGTTTCTGGTGTGTTTGCAAAGCTGTTCGACTAGCTGGGAAGGATTCTGAGCCAGGAGACAGAGTTTGATAGAAAGCAGTGATTCGCTGAAGTTGTTTGGATTCATGGAGGAAGGAGGGTTTTATCCCAAGAAGATGTAGGTAGAGTGTGCTAATAATTATTTATCGAACCAATGACTGCCAGTTATGGTAGTGTTGCCTCTCTAATGCATTATGGGTCAGCTTGCATTGATTGTGAGGAGGCATGTTGCTTCAAAAGCAGCGGGCACAAAGGTGCTTGCGAGGGATCCTTCAGCACGGACAACCTGACATCTGAGAAAGGCCTCAGAGGAGACCTGAAAGTGCCTGGCAGACTCTGCGTTAAAATTGACAGAAGTGTTTGGTCAGATCATGTGAAAAGTGGTCTGTTGTGTAGACGTGCTGCAGAGTGGTGTGAGAACAATGAGACAATGCAGGCAAGAGTTTATGAACATCACAAACCTTAAACAACACCGTTACTGTTAATAACATCCAGTTAAAGTTTCTTAATTATTGTGGAGATGGTTTTTGCAGGATGAGACATTTATACCGTGTAAGTGGATGCATGACACTGACCGTAACGTTGCCCATACACAGTGACCACAGGAGAGGCATCCATAATGTGAGAAGAATATTTTTCATCACTCTGTCAAACATAGCCACTCTTGCACAAGATACATACGACAGTCGAGCACATGTTACACATACAAGAACTCAATTTTGCCGAATTTCTAGTGAAAATAAAATAACATTACAGCCTTTTGTAAAAGACACCGCAGGATGGCGTGTCAACATGCTGTTGGGTTGTTTGACCATACTTTACCGCGCTGGTCAATGTGGATTGGAGAAGGGAGGTCCAGAAATTATTCAGATGTCATGAGCCACTGATGTTACATGTGACTAGGAATTTAACTCAGGTGGCTGTGTTCACAGCACAGCACCCGAGCCACAGCACTGCCCCTTCCCCCAGTAATTATCGACAATTAATTACACCCCATAATATTATCACTTGCGAAACGTCGAATTAAAATTGTTAATGTTACATCATGGGACCTCCTTTGCCAGTACCAAAATATAATAATAGGGGTTTTTTCCCCTTTTTTCTGGCAACAAAACTGAAACCTCTTTACAAGGATTCGTGTCTGCATTAACCACAATACTTGCAGTCAAAATGAGTGTGTTTTTTATTTGCATTTTGACTGCAAGTATTGTGGTTAATGCAGACATGTATCCTTGTAAAAAGGTTTCGTTTTGTTGCCATAAAAAAGGGGAAAACACCTTATTATTGTAAATGGTGTCTGTTTACTCTCCAACACACCGGTGTGCTGCATTGATAACTAATTGGCACGTTTTGTTTACCTGACAAACCTTATTAATTGACTGTTGAGCGATGGCGAGTAAACGACATATTTACACCATCTAACCCAAAAAAATCTTCATGGTGGATATTGGTCGCGAAATCCTACGTGTTAAACTAATTAACACACCGTTTCATATGCAGTACCGTACTGTTCTTTGTGTACAAGTTAGACTACATTCAGTGAATGTGAAAATTCGTTTATTGTACTAGAAGTGACAATTCGATGCAATATACCATTCGTCAAAACATTGTCTATAACTTAACAGTCTAAAAGTATATTCGAATACTGTAGGCACAATTGCACACATAATACCGCAATGCACAAACTATATTACGGATCATTAACAGTGTTAATTATGCAATACGTTTCAGCACTAAGTAACAAATTAGATGGAGAGTGTTCGTTAACTCTGCTTACCTGTGGTGCTCTTGTACAGCACTGTGTTAACGCCTGTGCTTTGTCACCGTGCTTCCGACACAGTCACTGATAATAAAGTTGCCAAACCACTCCACATGTGGAGGCATGACAAGGAAGCTATGAAGTCCCATACATTAGTCGGTTATTTTAATTAAATTTCACCTTGCCCCATATACACAAAAAAGCACCGTGACTAAGTTGAAGTTTTTTGATCACGAACAATAAAACAACAAAAACAACACAAGTATGCATAGGTACATGGAGAGATTGATGCATGACATTATTTCATGACGTCACGCACCTGGGGGGGGGGGGGGGGTCAGACATTTGTGGCGATGTGTGACGAGGGGGGGGGGGTGATAAATGTGACGTCACATCAAAATGCGTAACTTTAAATAAATATAGACAACACGTTCTACTTAATTAAATAGACTTAAAAAAATGTTTTCTCCTACAACATCAGAGTGCAGTATCACATTAAATACGCACTACAATGACAATAGTTTAAAGCGATTTGAAGCATGTTTGATTTATTTTGGTGCAAAGCTTTGTGACGTCATATTTGAGGGGGGGGTCTGACTTTTTGTGACGCCGTGTGACGAGGGGGGGGGGGGTGAAAAATTGTCCAAAATCGCGTGAAGTCATTTATGGACGGCCCCATAGCCGTGGCAAGCGGTGCTCCTTTCTCCGTAGCGACGTTTCGCCTCCAACGTTTGAAGGCGTCTTTAAAAGGGCATTTCTCAAAACACAGGTTAAGGCAATTCAGACGGCGAAGGGCAGAAAGGTTTAAGGGAGGACGAATGGAACGTGTGCGACAGGACGTGGTGTGGACATGCTGAGTGACTCATAACATTAGAGATGCCAACGGTTTGAGGAGGCCTTCATCCGGCAGTAGATTGATCATGGCTGATTATTATTATTTCTTACAATGCACCTATTGTACATAGATATGCAACAGCTAATGTGGTGGGAGATATATTTAACTATGCTTACAAAATGTGAAAACATCTACGTAACATGGGGAGTCTGATCTCTACACACGGTAAACAGCGCAGGCCCAACTCTTCTCTACCAAAAACACAAATAACACTACTCTATAATTTTTTAGATGTTGTCTGCTTCAGAGATGAAATGTGCTGTTTATTATGGATTTTTACGCCCTGAATTCAAATATGACAATTAAAAGAACTAATTGTCTACTGCTCCCAAGATATTTAAGTTTTTACATTTTACATCTATGTATATTGTGGAGATAGAATTTTACTTAGAAATTGTAAACCTAGGTCTTTTAATGTGTTTATGGTTGCTTTACTTGATAGCATGTCACTTGTCCTGTTCATGTAACACGATGAGGGTCGCTTGTGTTGCAATCGAAACATCGTAGTTTTGTTGATTATTTTTTTTAACCTATCTACGTGACTTTACGGAAATAACCAAAGAGTATGGATTCCTGCAGTCACGAAAGATTCAAATCAAGATTGGAGCATCTCTTGTCACTGTCCAGCAATAGTCTGAAGGCATTGATGGGCTCCATTTTCCCTGATAGCGTTTCTCCATTGTTGCAATGTCCTGGTGGAATCGCTCGCCATGCTTATCGCTCACTGCTCCGCAGTTCGGTAGGAAAATATCTAAATTAGTGGAAAAAATTGTATCTTTAGTGACATCTTAATTATGGAGCTTTCGTGACTGCAGGAATTATTTTTTGGTTCTTTCGGTTAAGTCACGTCTAAAGATAAAATAATAAATTAAAATAAAAGCATATTACGACGTTTCGATTGCAACACAAGCAATCATCATCAGGCAAAAAAAAAAGAAATAGCAAAAAAAAATCTAACTAGAAAACTATAGACAGAGTTTTCTAGTTAGATTTTTTGTTGCTATTTCTTTTTTTTTTGCCTGATGATGATTGCTTGTGTTGCAATCGAAACGTCGTAATATGCTTTTATTTTAATTTATTATTTTATCTTTAGACGTGACTTAACCGAAAGAACTTAAGTGACATGTTGCAACCAAGGCTGTTGTATGCCTTGAGGAGGTTTTCTACCAACTTCCTGTAGTTGTCTGCCTTGTTGTTTCCGAGAAAATCTGTTGCCACTAACTGGGAGGCGTTCCATGCCGTCTTTTCCTTGCCACGCAGTGCACTGTCAGATGCATAATCTCGAAGAAGTTCACGAATCTGAGGACCAACAAAGACACCTTCCTTTATCTTAGCTTCACTTAACCTTGGGAATTTTCCATGGAGGTACTTGAAAGCTGCTTGTGTTTTGTCTATGGCTTTGACAAAGTTCTTCATCAGACCCAGCTTGATGTGCAAGGGTGGTAACAAAATCTCCCTTGATTCAATAAGTGGTGGATGCTGAACACTTTTCCTCCCAGGCTCCAATGACTGTCGGAGTGGCCAATCTATCTTGATGTAGTGGGAATCTCTCGCATGACTATCCCATTCGCAGAGAAAACAGCAGCACTTTGTGTATCCAGTCTGCAGACCAAGCAAGAGAGCAACAACCTTCAAATCGCCACAAAGCTGCCACTGATGTTGGTCATAGTTTACGCACCTCAAAAGTTGTTTCATGTTGTCATAGGTTTCCTTCATATGGACTGCATGACCAACTGGAATTCATGGCAAAACATTTCCATTATGCAGTAAAACAGCTTTAAAACTCATCTTTGACGAATCAATGAACAGTCTCCACTCATCTGGATCATGAACGATGTTGAGGGCTGCCACCACACCATCGATGTTGTTGCAGGCTACAAGATCACCTTCCATGAAGAAGAATGGGACAAGATCCTTTTGATGGTCACGGAACATGGAAACCCTAACATCACCTGCCAGGAGATTCCACTGCTGCAGTTTGGAGCCCAACAGCTCTGCCTTACTGTTGGGTAGTTCCAAATCCCTGACAATGTCTTTCAGTTCACCTTGTGTTATGAGGTGTGGTACAGAGGAGTTTAACAATGCTTCCATTTTTTTTTAACTGACACATTTCATAACACTGACAGTATGACCATTTAATTTATAGCACATAATTACATTCTGACTTACGAACCATTCGATTTACGAATGGGTCTCAGGAACTGGCCCGTAGCATATACTACTTTTGCTACTAGGATAATCCGGGACTGGCCCCAGGCAAATCTGACACTGTGATGTCGAAACGCACTGCCCCCCCCCCACCAAGGCCGGCCGCCCCCGATTCGCCGTACCCCCAGGGACGGCTCTGCCGTCTGGACACTCCTGACGTTCGTGGAACTCAACATTTGAGTTATTTTTGTGTTTGAAAAAGATTGTATCTAGATGACAAAACAATGTTGAATGGATAATATTCAAATGTAGACAGATAATCCGATGGCGTGCAGAAATGAGATACCACCTGACCTTAGAAACAATCCTTCTACACACCAATTCAAACAAGGTTTGGGGTGTTTGGCTCTCAATGAGATGTTATATATTTACTAATTCACATAAAGCAATAATCTTTATTCTCTACTGAAAATGATCTATCAGTGTTTTTTGTGATTGATTGCTGGATGTTGAATGATGTAAAAGCTGATTGCTACACATATCAGGTTCCCTGCATGACAAAACAAAATCCAGGCTGTCTTTCCGGGAAATCTCTAAATGTATGCAAATAAAAAAAAGTCACGTAGATTAAGTGCACCTTACACACGCTATTTTTTTGTACGTACCTCGAGGGTTTTTTTTCCTGGCAAACTGGTTATTTCTGCTCCATTGATCCAATAACCAAAACAACCAAACAACGTCTCACATTACTGCTAGAAAATTTGAGGATTTGTCATGAAGTCTCGTGAAGATCCCCTGTTTGTGAAAGTATTACTCTACTTGGTGGCAGCCTGCCCGATGGGTGAGGCAATGTGACACGTGACAACCACCTAAACCGGCCACTGACCTGACAACACTCACCTGAACCTCAGTAGTCACTTAAAGCCACTCAAGAGACACCAGACACAGACTCTCAGCACTCATATGACACCGGACTCTCATGAATCACCCAACACCACTTACCACTCAACAAACATTCACCCTCACCAGACACAGTGCCTGATTAAGCTAGTGCGGGGCCTGTAGCTAATGTTATAAAGGGGCTTTAAATAAAATAAAAAAACATAAATATGAAAACTCTAATTTTGTACTTGCATAGTAAAGTAATTGCATTTTTCATTTGCTATACAACCAGATAATACGACAAATAGCTAACCTTAAACACCCAGTCGTTCATAAAAGTTGAAGGCAGTCTAGTACTATAATAATAGAGCAAGTGCAGAATCACTGAACCGGAAATGATAGCTTGAAAGCATTTAGCGCGGGGCCCTTGAAAGTGCGGGGCCCGTAGCATATGTAAATAAGCACTGATCAGACACACACTCACCTTTCTCCATTCAAATGACACCACTAGTCACATACTCACCACTCAGAACACACTCACCAGACTATCACCACTCTTTAGTGCTGCCTAACGGCGTGTGCGACTTCACGATGATATTGGTCCCGGTCTAGCACGGCGTGTAGAGTTTGTGCTGTTGTTAATTGTAGCCATGTTTTGATGTTACTGAGCCGTGTCGTTTTGGCCGTCCTGGTCGTTTTTTTCCTTCGATTTTTCCTTCCAGGATTTGCTTTAATAGCTGGTATTTGTGGTCGTTTCGGGCAATGTGGCCTAGGTAGTAACACTTCCTGCTAATGATGGTCTTCAGCAGTTGCCTGTCAGTGCCCAAAACGACCACAAATACCAGCTATTAAAGCAAATCCTGGAAGGAAAATCGAAGGGAAAAAACGACCAGGACGGCCAAAAACGACATGGCTCAGCATATGATATTTATACCCACGAGACACTCACCCGACACTACTTTGAAACGACTAGCAGCAGACACAGTAGTCACAAAATAAAGTGTATGAGCACACTTTGACCAATAGGCAACACACCACCACTCATTATGATTAAAGCCAACGACTCATCGGTTGTACATTGCTCACATTTATGCCCATCGGCTCCCGAATTTGCTCATGTTAGAATGCTCCCCA